CGTCTCTGTCAAACGCTCCCTAAAACACTTCAGCGAGCAGGCCTTTCTAATTGACCTGGCCCAGGTATCCTGGATGGATATTGACCTCATTCCGTCAGTAGAGGATGCCTGGATGTTCTTCAAAAGTGCTTTCCTCTCCATCTTAAATAAGCATGCCCCATTCATAACTAAGAACAGATATAGCCCCTCGTTCACCCCAGACTTGACTGCCCTTGACCATCACACAAACATCCTGTGGCGTACTGCATTAGCATCGAACAGCCCCCGTGATATGCAACTTTTCAGGGAAGTCAGCAACCAATATACACAATCAGTTAGGAAAGCAAAGGCTAGCTTTTTCAAACAGAAATGTGCATCCTGTAGCACTAACTCCAAAACGTTTTGGGACACTGTAAAGTCCATGGAGAATTAGAGCACCTCCTCCCAGCTGCCCACTGCACTGAGGCTAGGAAACACTGTCACCACCGGTAAATCTACGATAATCGAGAATTTCAACAATCATTTTGCAACGGCTGACCATGCTTTCCACCTGGCTATACTTTATTTTTAATTCAACAAAGCCAGGTCAATCTGCAGATTGGAACCCACTCTTACTCTCTCTCTCCATCTTATATAGTGCCCTCTTCAGTTTCCCGCTCTTTTATTGCTCCGCCCACTTCCTTTGTCTCTGAGTGTTGCTAAATTAGACTTTCATTAAGTTCAGAGTACTACAATCAATCCTTATCTTGCAAAAACACTCATGTTTAGTTTAAACTCTGTTCAACCCTGGCTCTTTTCTCTGTGTTTGAAGATTGAATCAAAAGGCCTAGGCCAGTTTCAGTCTCTGATATGATAAGACAACCATGGAGCAAGCAATTTGACCCTGGGTCAGCTTCCCTCTTTTACCCACACACACAGTGAAATGACCCAATTCAGTTAGCCACAAAGAATGTTAACTATATGTTGATGATTAACTCAGTTTCACCTAATAGTCTATTAAAAATACACATCACCACCAGCTCTGCACCCTCCGCTGCAACTTGCCCATGCCCCCCCCACTTCTCCTTCACCCAAATTCAGACAGCTGATGTCCTGAAAGAGCTGCAAAATCTGGACCCCTACAAATCAGCTGGGCTAGACAATCTGGACCCTTTCTAAAATTATCCGCCGAAATTGTCGCAACCGCTATTACTAGCCTGTTCAACCTCTTTCGTATCGTCTGAAATCTCCAGAGTTTGGCAAGCTGCCGCGGTCATCCCCCTCTTCAAAGGGGGTGACACTCTAGATCCAAATTGTTACAGACCTATATCCATCCTGCCCTGCCTTTCGAAAGTATTTGAAGGCCAAGTTAACAAACAGATCACCGACCATTTCGAATCCCACCGTACCTTCTCCGCTATGCAATCTGGTTTCCGAGCTGTTCATGGGTGCACCTCAGCCACACTCAAGGTCCTAAATGATATTATAACCGCGATTGATAAGACAGTACTGTGCAGCCGTCTTCATCGACCTGGCCAAGGCTTTTGACTCTGTCAATCACTGCATTCTTATTGGCAGACTAAATAGCCTTGGTTTCTCAAATGACTGCCTCGCCTGGTTCACCAACTACTTTTCAAATAGAGTTCAATGTGTCAAATCGGAGGGCCTGTTGTCTGGACCACTGGCAGTCTTTATGGGGGTGCCACAGGGTTCAATTCTCGGGCCGACTCTATTCTCTGTGTATATCAATGATGTCGCTCTTGCTGCAGGTGACTCTCAGATCCACCTCTACGCAGACAACCCCATTTTGTATACATCTGGCCCTTCATTGGACACTGTGTTAACAAACCTCCAAACGAGCTTCAATGCCATACAACACTCCTTCCGTAGCCTCCAACTGCTCTTAAACGCTAGTAAAACTAAATGCATGCTCTTCAATCGAACGCTGCTTGCGCCCGCCCGACTAGAATCACTACTCTCGGCGGGTCTGACTTAGAATATGTGGACAACTACAAATACCTAGGTGTCTGGTTAGACTGTAAACTCTCCTTCCAGACTCACATTAAGCATCTCCAATCCAAAGTTAAATCTAGAATCGGCTTCCTATTTCGCAACAAAGCCTCCTTCACTCATGCTGCTAAACATGCCCTCGTAAAACTGACTATCCTACCGATCCTTGACTTCAGCGACGTCATTTACAAAATAGCTTCCAACACTCTACTCAGCAAATTGGATGTAGTCTATCACAGAGCCATCCGTTTTGTCACCAAAGCCCCATATACTACCCACCGTTGTGACCTGTACACTCTCGTTGGCTGGCCCTCACTACATATTTGTCGCCATACCCACTGGCTCCAGGTCATCTATAAATCACTTCTAGGCAAATCCCTGCCTTATCTTAGATCATTGGTCACCATAGCAACACCCACCCGTAGTATCCGTTCCAGCAAGTATATCTCACTGGTCATCCCCAAAGCCAACACCTCCTTTGGCCGCCATTCCTTCCAGTTCTCTGCTGCCAATGACTGTAACGAACTGCAAAAATCTCTGAAGCTGGAGACACTTATCTCCCTCACTAACTTTAAGCATCAGTTGTCAGAGCAGCTTACCGATCACTGCACCTGTACACAGCCCATCTGTAATTAGCCCACCCAACTACCTCATCCCCATATTGTTATTTACATTGTTATTTATCTATCACTCCAGTGTTAATACTAAATTGTAATTATTTTGCACTATGGCCTATTTATTGCCTTACCTCCATAACTTACTACATTTGCACACACTGTATATAGATTTTCTATTGTGTTATTGACTGTACGTTTTGTTTATTCCATATGTAACTCTGTGTTGTTGTTGTTTTTATCGCACTGCTTTGCTTTATCTTGGCCAGGTCGCAGTTGTAAATGAGAACTTGTTCTCAACTGGCTTACCTGGTTAAATAAAATACCATATGTGGTAAGGTAAATCTAACAATTAGTGGTCTTGTTTTTTTGAATGATGGACAGTGAAACTAAAATAGATTGGTTAGCTAGCTGGTGAGGCTTTAATTTATTAACCAATTAATTTTGTGATCAAGCTGAAGCTGGGTTTTCCAAGTCGTTCGGTCGGTGCGAACTGCTCATGCAGGCGGCATGAGCTAGCTAAACAGAGGGCTCCGTAGAGCATCTGTGTGACGTCACGCACCCAAGAAGGCTTCACCAATCATCCGACGTTCTGTGTCGAGACTCAAGAATATTCATGAAATTGCCCCCCGCCTTCCTACGGAAGGACATTTTGCATACACTACTGGTCTTAATGAGAAGGGGGAAAAAACTGTTGGGAGGTTCTCTTCTGCACTGTTCAACCAATCCAGTAAATGTGGAGGAGGAGTTAAGATGGAGTGTCGCTTTGTTAACGCCAAAAGCAGATGCCATGTCACAGGCTCATTCCGGTTCCATTTTCCCTGAAAACCGGAATATCTGGTTGTTGGGGACTGAGCAGAAGCTATCCCTGGATCATGCCTCTCAGTTCCATTACATTACACACAATTCATTGGACGAAGATGTCTTCTGTATGGGGGAGTTTTGTTAAGCTCCCCTACGCTCGGTCTGAACATTAACACGCATTGCTTTCAGGACGATTTTGGAAGCATAAGGACCTTATCTTTCATATCAGCGAGAAATCATTTTAAAAAAAAAACATTACATTGATACACACCTTTTTATAAGGTTCGTGTTCCCACATGGCCATATCTCCATGTTACAGTGCGTGTTTACGGAAGACAGACGGAAGACCGAGGGACCATCTGTGCTAATTAGCTATGTAGCATGCTCCGAACACCTGTGTGTAACGGAAGAAGGCTGCCAGAAATGTGTTGTCACTGAAATACTGTCGGCTGCAAATGTGATGAAGCTGGTTAAAACCGTGTACAGTAAATGTATGTTTTGCATTAATGACATTATTTTGATGTGAAATGAAAATAAAGCCCTTTACGTTTCTAGAACCGTATCGCAATTTAGAATCGATTCGCACTTAGGTGGAGTATTTGGCTGTTTTAGCTGCCAGAGCCAGTCTACCTCTGAATATATCATATTTGGTCCTTGGACCTAAAAGGAGTAACGCTAGGCTCCTTGAGTACATATTTGTCTAGGCAGAGGCTAGTCTTTGATTTCAGTGTTGAGCAGATGGAATCTGACCCAATCATTATGGGTGGTGTCAAAGTCGCGTCAATTCAAATCTGGTATTAGGAACAAAAAGAGGTCAACACGACTTCTAAGATATACTAGTTATTTTAATTAATGCAAAAACCTTCAATGGTAAATATGATGTTTCGTATATACGGGCTCTTTGAAATACCTCGCAGGGCACTTCAGAGAACTAAATCCATTGTTTCAGATTGTTGCTCAAATACTCTGACAGAGAGAGTTTCCCACCTCTCTGTTGGCCAATCAGAGTAAAGGACTGAGTGTGGTTTAAACTTTACTCAGCCAATCCGTTGGCGCAGGGGTTGGTCCCATCTCCTCGGCGCTCCATTTGTTGCACACTGTTGCCAGGCACAAGTTTATCATAACAACCTGTCATAGTGAGAAGAGCCAGCTCCCTTAGACACCATTCCTATGTCCAAGGAAGGTTCACAGATCACAAAGAACCAGTATATTCCAGTATCTGGAGACACAAATCCCTATCTCCCTTTACCCCCTAAAACAGCAGGTGTCACAACCTACATTAGCCCAGTCAAGAATGCATTCTTTCTAAGTTAGTCATCCCATCAATCCAATTATTAGAAAATAGAACCCATCAGTGGTGTTAAAATAAGCTACCAATCGAGGTCCTCCTGATCCAGCCTCAAATGAGTCGACATATGAATTAGTGTGGGCTTTTAGTAGATTTAATTCTCCCTTTGGTAAAAATCAGGTTGATCAGTCTGTAATGAGCAGGAGGACTTGTGATCTGGATCTGATCAATCGAGCCTGAATAATTTTATTTTTATGTCTGTGGTGATCATCTTGACATGGGATGAATGAATCCTCTGAAATCACGGTATTGTGTGGTCTTATAAGATGCACAGACATTTGCTTAGTCTACAGGTGTGTTTCTTGTAAAGTGTGTACTTTGTGTTTTACTTTATAGTTCACTGTCGGATTGAGATATCTGTATGTTTCTTATTGTCCTGGCGCTAAGCAAGGTCCTATCAACAACCAATAAAGTATTCTACATTCTCTGTAGGATGCCATTCTCATTGTTTTTGGCCAATAACCTATTATATATTCTATTGTTCTGTAGGATTCCTTCCTCAATGCACTGAAGGAGGCAGGAGACAAGCTGGTGGTGGTGGACTTCACAGCCACCTGGTGCGGCCCCTGCAAGAACATTGCTCCCTTCTTCAAAGTGAGTGGTCCACCAACCTAGAGAAATCTGTCTGCACCTGAAATGGCAACCTATTCCTTAGTACATGACTTTTGACAGGGTCCATAGGTCCACTATATAGGGAATAGGGTGCCATTTCAGATGCAGAATATACACTAAGGGACACCCCTTCAAATTAGTGGATTTGGCTATTTCAGCCACATCCGTTGCTGACAGGTGTTTTTAAAATTTAGCACACAGTCATGCAATCTCCATAGACAAACATTGGAAGTAGACTGGCCTGTACTGAAGAGCTCAGTGACTTTCAACGTGGCACCGGCATAGGATGCCATGACTTTCCAACAAGTCAGTTTGTCAAATTTCAGCCCTGCTAGAGCTGCCCCGGTCAACTGTAAGTGCTGGTGTTTGAAGTGGAAACGTCTAGGAGCAACAACGGCTCAGTCGTGAAGTGGTTTGGGCTAGGCCCCTTAGTTCCAGTGAAGGGAAATCTTAACGCTACATACAATAACATTCTAGATGATTCTGTGCTTCCAACTTCGTGGCAACAGTTTGTGGAAGGCCATTTCCTGTTTCAGCATGACAATGCCCCTGTGCACAAAGCGAGGTCCATACAGAAATGGTTGGTTGAGATCGGTGTGGAAGAACTTGACTGGCCTGCACAGAGCCCTGACCTCAACCCCATTGAACACCTTTGGGATTAATTGGAACGCTGACTGCGAGCCAGGCCTAATCGCCCAACATCATCAATGCTCTTGTGGCTGAATAGAAGCAAGTCCCCACAGCAATGTTCCAACATCTCGTGGAAAACCTTCCCAGAAGAGTGGAGGCTGTTGTAGCAGCAAAGGGGGGACCAACTCCATATTAATGCCCATGAATTTGAAATGAGATTTTCGACCAGCAGGTGTCCACATACTTTTGGTCATGTAGTGTATGTCTATCTATGTGTCCATCATGTTATTTTAGGTGTCCCTAGGGTCATTCCACCTCAAAACGCTCAAGAAAGAGGATTTAGACACCCATCTCAGATTGTTCTCAAATCATTTGTTAGAAAAGATAAGATTAGCATTCCTGCAACATTATTTTGTTGAAATATAATTTGATCTCAGAGAAATTAAGCCAATTGATTGCACCCAAATTGGTCATTTTAATTGATAGGATTCATATAATATTCAATAAATATAGTACCTAAGATCTGATTTGGACCAAACTTTTTTTCTATCAATGAGTTGGACATGAGGAATCCAAAGAAATTGTCAAAAGCCACCCATGGACCCCCCCCCCCACACACACACACCCCATGCCATTATATGAATCTTAAATTAAAATTGCCAATTTGGGTGCAATCAATTAACTTCATTGCTCAGATGAAATTATATTTCAATAAAATGTTGTAGTAGTGCTAATCTTATCTCTTTCTAACTACAGAAACAATTTCAGAACAATCGGAGATGGTGGGTGTCATGGTTCGCTGAAATGACATGGAACGACCGTCTAGCCTCTGCTAGCTGTCTGATAAATGCCAGTGAGAGGCCTCATGCCAAGTGGGAGTTATCTGAAGGGGTTGGCCTGAGCCAGAGATATAATGGGAAAACCCTGGGTGCATCCCAAATGCCACCCTAGTCCCTACATAGTGTTCTACTTTTGACCATGGTCCATATGGGCTCTGGTCAAAGTAGTGCCCTGAATGGGGTGGCATTTGGAACACTGACCCTGTCTCTGACTGAGCCGTGTGTTTGGTGTCATCTTGGTGACCGCCGGGAAAGCCTCCTCCAGGACTCGGCGCCTTGCGCTTATCAAGTGAAAGGCCCATAATATGGTCTCTAAACAGAATGCTAATGATCGATGATGAATCAAAAGCCCACTGACGATGTTGTCCAGCAAAACATTTAGAAATGAAACGGAAAACCAAAATGGGTGTTTCCTATTGGACAACTCCAGGTAGTTCCTCGCTGTTTCAGTCCATTTGAACACGACTTGGGGCATTATGGCTTGGGGCTAAATGAAGCATGTTAACACCACTACCACAGCTGTAGATGTGATACTGCTGCCTGCAACCCATGTTACACTGATCCAAAGGATGCATTGTCACCTCTGAAACTCTTATTACATGGCACTAGTGGTAGTGTAAGTAAAAAATCAATGGTGTGTGTCCTCTATCAATACCCCTTTTTGTATGTTATGTATATATCTATGAGCATGAGCTGCTATGCCCAAGTCATCTGGTTGACACTATACAGTACAGTATTAGGCCTGTTTTTCCATTGGTGATGTTTAGCTGATCCATGACCTTTTAACCTCTGCTCTCTACTTCTGTACAGGGGCTGTCGGAAAAACCAGAGAACAAAAATGTGGTTTTTCTCAAGGTGGACGTCGACGAGGCAGCGGTGAGTCACATAGCTGTGTGTGTTAAATCCACAAATATTGGACGACTGTTCTTCCTTGTTGAAAGAGCTTGGAACATCATGGACTGAACGTTAGAAGTGATGGAATGCAGCCAGTGGTTTTGGGATGGCTATCAGATTGTCTGTCTGTAAATACAGTGCTAACGGCAGAGTTAGTGTGTATTTGAATACAGATTAGGGATGTGAACGTTTAAATGAAATTGGGATAATTTAAACGTTTTTAAGAGATCACAAATGGAAAAACATTGAACTCTTTTCACCCGTGAGGGACCTGCCTATACTGTGCCCCTCCCCTCTCTCTCCATCCCTCACTAGCTTGCTATGAACGATGGGAGTGTTTGTTGTCGGAAGTATGGCAACTAATCAAATACTGAATCTTAGGAATCAACCCTAGCGGAATCGAATCTTGACACTCAGAAATGAGAGTCGACACCGGGAGTCGATGTGCAAGGAGTCGAGGAATCAATTATTTTGGAGTCGACTCTCCACCACTACATCGCCGTCGTTAACTTGGAAAAATGGCAGAGAAAGGCAAGCTACAGCAGCGAAGTCTTGTATAGCAATACTTTAAGAAGTTAAGTGAGAAGGAAATGCAATCTTTGCGAGGTGGAATTGAGGTACAGTAATGTTAGTACAGGTGCAATACTTAACCATCTGAAAAGGGACACATCGTGAGACCCAAACCGTTGCTGGCAGCAGCGCAGCTGCATTGTGAATTGCCGTGGAATTTTATATCTATTTTTTAAAATCGTTTTAACGAGAATCGAAATGGATGGATGGATATCTATCGATCTATTTTTATTGTCATATCCCTAATACAGAACTCTTTGTAAAGCGAGATGACTTGCCTAGTACCATTTGAATAGACCTCAAATGTGTATGTTGTCCTATTAGGTAACCACACTAGGCTCACTTGCAGTGTGAGAGATGATCATTTAGTTAGGAATAGTGGTGGGGAGTCGACTCCAAAATAATCCTCGCCCGTCGAATCCCATTTCTGGGTGTCAAGCTTCGGAATCGACTCCTCAACTCCTAAGATTCAGTATTTATGCAACTGAGGAACCTACACAAACTATAGCATGTTTTACAGCAAAGAAGAGCCAGCTAGCGAGGGGAAAGAGCGAGATGGGAGGGCATGTCGGCTACCAGGCAGACAGTCAGAACCATACATCGGTAATCAAGATGTAGGCTGTAGGCTGTCACAGTGATGTATTTCGCAATTTCTTGGCTTGCAATGTCTCTCTCAAGTTCACCATCAATGAGTAGGCTGAGCTATTCTACACGCAACAGCTCGAACACCAACACACGCTACCGTTTTTTTCATAGCGAAGAGAAAGGGCAGGCGAGGGAGAGCGGGGATCCGGGCAGGCCGACAGGCCGTCGGAACCGTGCGCATAGACACAGTTTACCAAGATCTATCCGATCTCACAATGTCTTGTCTAGCAATGCCTCGTAAATTCACTAAAAGTATATTAAAGTGTAGGATTAGGCTATCAATGAGTATGGCTAATGCCTTGATCACACCTACAGGGTTATTGCGCAAAATGGTAAGCAGCATCATCTGGATATGTGTGCAACATAAGTTCCACATTCACCTTCTGCTACCATTTCTGTCAAGCCGTCTACGCATACAGTTTGACGCATACGTTCGCTAAATCCAACGTATGCAACACACAGAACGCACTGCAACTACCTCTGCAACGCAATGCTGCAAGGCAAACGCAAGAGTTCCATTGGAAATGAATGTACTTCTGGTGTACCAAAATGCAATACACTATCTTTGTGATCGAGGCGTGAACTAGTCTTCATAGTGCCAGTGAATTGAAGTTGAACATCGCTAAGGCCTAAAAGACAATTAGTTTTATTGCACAATCTTATTTAATGAAACCCTGGCTGGCTGTTGATGTCCTAGGTCATGGCTGTCCAACCCTGTTCCTGGAGAGCTACCTTCCTGTATTTTTTTTTTTTTTGTGGCTTCAACCGCAGTTGTAACGAACTTGATTTTTAAGCTTATCAACCAGCTAATGATTTAATCAGATGCGCCAGATTAGGGTTGGAGTGAACCTACAGGATGGTAGCGCTCCACGAACAGGGTTGGAGAGCCCTATCCTAGGCATTAGATCGCAAAGCAGGACATCCCCGCCAAACTTTTTGGAAATGGCAAGTTCACTTGCAAATAGGGTTCAGCAGCTGAAATCCGCAGGATGTGCATTGTTATTAGGAAGGAAGTCTACCATGGATCCTAAACAATTCTCTCCAATTGTAATATTGTGGGGACACCTATACATTTGGCAACCAAGAACCAGTTATCAGTGTAGCCTATTGTCATCTAGACATGGCGTTGAGATCTCTTCACGCCTACAGTAAAAAACCTCCAGGTTTCCGTCAGAGGGGTCAATACAATTTGTAAAAAATTAAGAAATAAAGGGGGCAGTTTTTATTTTATTTTTATGCCTCCCCTATATGGAGCGGAGTGTGTGTAAGTCAAATCATTCACTTTTGCAGTTGGTAAAGACTAATCCTGTGTGAATCGTCCTCCGGAATAACGCACATGCTTGGATAATAATTACATAACCAACTTCTCTAGTAATACCTGTCCGACTAGGACTGTAACATAGCAAAGAATAGGCTCAGCGTAGAGTGCCCTGAAATTATCCCATGGGCTCCGTCAAGGATGCACACTGCAGAAATATCACTGAAATATTCTTGTTCTTACATGTCACCTTCTACAGTGAGGGGAAAAAAGTATTTGAACCCCTGCTGATTTTGTATGTTTGCCCACTGACAAAAAATGATCAGTCTAATTTTAATGGTAGGTTTATTTGAACAGTGAGAGACAGAATAACAACAAAAAAATCCAGAAAAACACATGTCAAAAATGTTATAAATTGATTTGCATTTTAATGAGGGAAATAAGTATTTGACCCCCTCTCAATCAGAAAGATTTCTGGCTCCCAGGTGTCTTTTTATACAGGTAACGAGCTGAGATTAGGAGCACACTCTTAAAGGGAGTGCTCCTAATCTCAGCTTGTTACCTGTATAAAAGACACCTGTCCACAGAAGCAATCAATCTATCAGATTCCAAACTCTCCACCATGGCCAAGACCAAAGAGCTCTCCAAGGATGTCAGGGACAAGATTGTAGACCTACACAAGGCTGGAATGGGCTACAAGACCATCGCCAAGCAGCTTGGTGAGAAGGTGACAACAGTTGGTGCGATTATTTGCAAATGGAAGAAACACAAAAGAACTGTCAATCTCCCTCGGCCTGGGGCTCCATGCAAGATCTCACCTCGTGGAGTTGCAGTGATCATGAGAACGGTGAGGAATCAGCCCAGAACTACACGGGAGGATCTTGTCAATGATCTCAAGGCAGCTGGGACCATAGTCACCAAGAAAACAATTGGTAACACACTATGCCGTGAAGGACTGAAATCCTGCAGCGCCCGCTAGGTCCACCTGCTCAAGAAAGCACATATACAGGGCTATCTGAAGTTTTCCAACGAACATCTGAATGATTCAGAGGAGAACTGGGTAAAAGTGTTGTGGTCAGATGAGACCAAAATTGGAGCTATTTGGCATCAACTCAACTCGCCGTGTTTGGAGGAGGAGGAATGCTGCCTATGACCCCAAGAACACCATAACCACCGTCAAACATGGAGGTGGAAACATTATGCTTTGGGGGTGTTTTTCTGCTAAGGGGACAGGACAACTTCACCGCATCAAAGGGACGATGGACGGGGCCACATACCGTCAAATCTTAGGTGAGAACCTCCTTCCCTCAGCCAGGGCATTGAAAATGGGTCGTGGATGGGTATTCCAGCATGACAATGACCCAAAACACACGTCCAAGGCAACAAAGGAGTGGCTCAAGAAGAAGCACATTAAGGTCCTGGAGTGGCCTAGCCAGTCTCCAGACCTTAATCCCATAGAAAATCTGTGGAGGGAGCTGAAGGTTCGAGTTGCCAAACGTCAGCCTCGAAACCTTAATGACTTGAAGATCTGCAAAGAGGAGTGGGACAAAATCCCTCCTGAGATGTGTGCAAACCTGGTGGCCAACTACAAGAAACGTCTGACCTCTGTGATTGCCAACAAGGGTTTTGCCACCAAGTACTAAGTCATGTTTTGCAGAGGGGTCAAATACTTATTTCCCTCATTAAAATGCAAATCAATTTATAACATTTTTGACATGTGTTTTTCTGGATTTCTTTGTTATTTTGTCTCACTGTTCAAATAAACCTACCATTAAAATTATAGACTGATCATGTCTTTGTCAGTGGGCAAACGTACAAAATCAGCAGGGGATCAAATACTTTTTTCCCTCACTGTATATTCAAACAAAATAGGCCGTTTTTATAGGCTAAGTTGATGAGCAAATGGGCAGCATCATGCTCATGTCAGTCCTCTAGAAGCAAATGTAGGACTGCAATAATGAGGTGGTGTGTGCACATCTGTTTTGAGAGTCATGCAAGAGTCGACTCCAACTCCTGGTTAGACAGCTCTACAACATTGTACTAAGTTGTTGCAGTAAACAGGGGTTGCTATGGTTACAGCGAGTCGCTTTGTGTTGGGTATTTGTGGGGGTTTCCAAGATCTACTCATTTGCTTTATTACAGAAGGCTTGAGGCATAGGCTGGACAGGTTTGTCCTAACTAAGTCCTTCCTTACTGGGTGTTACTCAACCACATTGATGTTTTTTTTTATAGACTGAGACTGTTTTTGGACTACTACCTTCTTATCATAACTCCTTATCCCCATGGATAATGGGTTTAAAAATCACCATTCACTCTCTCTGTTACTGTAGGATGTGGCCAAACACTGTGACATCAAATGCATGCCTACATTCCATTTCTACAAGAATGGGGAAAAGGTGAGTATTTTCTTTTCATGGATCCTTTGCCTTTTTTTATGACTAATAAGACAGTGTTAGATTTAGTATAGGCCTAGTAGTATAGTGTTTCTACTACTATACTAGCCCATGTTTTTTTGAATAGTTGCTACAGTACATTGAAAGTGATGGTAACTTCTCCTGGTGTTGTTCCCAGGTGGATGAATTTTCTGGGGCCAACCAAGCCACGCTGGAGGAGAAGGTCAATGCCCTGAGGTCATGAGGCTAATGCTGCCACACACTGAACCAAAACAACCACCAACCATGTCTATAAAACATATTCCAACTCCCTCTTGAAGGAAATTCCACCATATTCCAACTCTCTCTCGACGGAACGATTCCACCATATGTACAATACAACGTTCCGTTTTAAATCAAAATGGCTATAATCTTACTTTTTTTTTCTAAATGTTCAGACCAAACCATGCCTCTAAACATCCAGTGTATGAGTATTACGTCATGTTATTATTCAGCTAAGGAGTTTCTCTTTTAAAATGACCATATTATAAACCTGTTTTTATATCTTAGAGCCATGTTGTATTGTTTGTATTCTGTGTGGCTGCAGACAATAAATTTAAGATTAATGCTGAAATTCTGTTTGAGTTCCCATGCTTTTCATGGATGAGTTAACAGACCAGCTGGGACACATACAGTAAGTGTTGCACTATGCATGCGGTTGTCAATACTTGTATATTTAACCTTCTAGATTTGAATTTTGAGCGCATGTATGACAACTGGATGGTTTGTTTATAACCTAACATTTATCTGGATTTAGTAGAAGGAGGCAGGTAGCTTAGCGGTTAGAGCATTGGGCCAGTAACCAAAACGTTGCCAGGTGAAAAATCTGTCGCTCTGCCCTTGAGCAAGGCACTTAACCCTAATTGCTAGAGGGTCTCCGTCAATAATGAATCCCTTGCTGTGACTCCACTCTCCGTGGGCGTCTCTTGGGGAGTGAGATGCAAAAAACATTTCACATTTCACATCAGTTTTACAGGTTACACTCTTGTACATGTGTGACACAGGTCAAATATAAGCACCCCCTATTTGACCTTTTTGAGGGTATAAATTTGATTTTAGAAATGGGTGTGTTTTGGCCTTTTAGATTCTATACGTTCTAAAGCATCATGTAATGCCTAATTTAGTAACTACAGTAGAGGGAGGGCGAGACCATTAAGACTTATGGTGAATTCTAAATCACTATGGACTATTTATTCCCTCTCCTCCTATGCATCTAAAGCACTATGGACTTTATTCCCTCTCCTCCTATGCATCTAAAGCACTATGGACTTTATTCCCTCTCCTCCTATGCATCTAAAGCACTATGGACTTTATTCCCTCTCCTCCTATGCATCTAAAGCACTATGGATATTGACTAGAAGCATCATTAAAGAAGTAGAGTAAAGTGAAGGAGAGGGTAAATGATGCAAGCCCTAGACCTTCCACAAACATGCCTAAGTATCACAGCAACACCCAACACCAGAGATGAGACTGTTGAATGAGTCAGATTCATAGATAGCTCATCACTTGCTAACCTAGGCTTGCATCTGAAAAATATACAGTAGGAGGGAATGGAACAGATTCTATTGTATTTTATGCTTTAATAAAAACGTGAGAATAGTTTATACATACATTGGACAATCACAGTTTTTACACATCATACAAGTATATAGCAGCATATAGTTAATACTGTTGATTTTCTATATGAAAAAATACAGCTTTATTTTACAAAATGTATCAGGTTTGTTTTTTGAGAGGAGGAGAGACTGGATGGTTTACAATTATGAAATAATTATACAAAATTCCCTTCGAGAGCAAGATCTTTCACCTGAATGGTCTTCTTAAAAAGGAAATTATCCTGATTTCCTTTTCCTATAAAGTTGAGAGAAAAATAAAATTAGACTACAGCTTTTTTTATGGCATTTTCAAACCCTTTTCTTTCTGGCCTGAGCTTTTTAAATGGAGAACAACATTTCCATTAGCCAGTATAGATGTCCTATCGGGGGCTGACTGTTGGGGTTTGAAAAAGCCAAGTTGAGAAAGTAAGTTGCACAATGACATCACAATAAATGGATAGCCCTGCAGCGTAACTCAGCCAAGTGGTTCTCTGAGGACTCCATGGAGTCGGAAGTGAGTGGTTTCTCACTCAATCAGTTATACCTGTCAGCCTTGAGTTTTATTGTACATTGGAACTGACTCAACGGCAGTGGCGGCTGCTGGGAGGAGCTATAGGAGGGCAGGCTCATTGTTATGGCTGGTATGGATTAAATGGAACGGAGTCAAAAGTGGTTTCCATATCTTTGTGTTTGATACCATTACATTAATTCCAAAACAGCTTTTACAATGACCTCGTCCTTCTACAGCTCCTCCCACCAGCCTCCACTGCTCAACGGAGTTCCCAAAACTGACTCCCAAAACTGAGTTTTTACTTTAAAAAAAAGAAATAGGTAGAGAATTCAAGAATCTACAGTGTCAGGAAAAATTCCTGACCCTGTCTTTATCGACGTGGTCAGATGAGAAGAGCTTTCTGTATTCGAGTGGTGCAGTCAGTCAGGTACTGTATATCTACTTCACATTAATCAGATATGTGCTGAGTTAGTACTGGGCCTCTGTCTATCCACCCACACCTTGGCCCACCTCCAACAGAGTGAGAGGGAGAGCTGAGGTCAGAGACAGACCTGGGTTCAATTACTATTTGAAATCTTTCAAATACTTTGAGCGTTTGCTCTAGCCTGCCTAGAATGCCAGATGGGCGGTGTTTGCAGTTTTGGGACTATTCCATTGGTCCATTAAGCCAGGCAAGCTCAATCAAGCACTGGTAAAGTATGTGAAATGATTTCAAATAGTATTTGAACCCAGGTCTGGTGAGAGTGCTCCTCCTATCCCCCTCTCACATTACAGAGAGATTGTATAGTGCACTTTGGAATATTGTTCTAGGGTGAGTCTCAAATAATGACAAAGACACAAACAAAGCCTGATTCAGGGAAAGAGGAAGTGGAGTGCAAATTATTTCCTGGGCGCATTATTAATGTAATGCTTTGTCATTCCATCCAGACTGGGGATACTCAAGCACACTTGTTCTGTGGGTGGTCTGGTAGTACCAGTTTGTGTATTTGCAGTAACTAAGTATAGTACTGTGTGAACATGCATGTATTGATTCAGTTTGTGTGCGAATGTTAGAAGGGATTTGTGTGGATTTGTGAGGATGTTCTTATGTTTGTAGTGTCTGACTGTCTGTGTGTATGTTTTGTCCTCTCACCTAGAGCAGTGGTGCCCGCTCCACCCTGGACTGCATTGACACCGGTTAGGCCTGATACACCTTCCACCATTCAGACAGGGCGACAAGCACACCGCTGTGAAAACACACGCACTGTCAATACCTCTGTAAACCCTTCATTCAACATGCACGCACGCACGCTCGCTCGCACGCACGCACACACAAAGGTGTGGACAAACACGCACACACATTCAGTAAATATTATCAGGATCTCAACTACAAGACTTCCTGAACTTGAAAGCCCTGTTTTTCTAGTTGGTTTGGTCAGGGTGTCCATTCTATGTTGTTCCATTTCTATGTTGGCCTGGTGTGGTTCCCAATCAGAGGCAGCTGTCGATCGTGGTCTCTGATTGGGGATGATACTTAGGCAGCCATTTTGCCTACCTTTAGTTGTGGGATCTTGTTTCTGTGTGTTTGGCTTGTTTGATGTTTAGCCTTTAGAACGTCACGTTACGTTGCTTTTGTCGGTGTTTATATAATAAACAAACATGTATGCATACCACGCTGCACCTTGGTCCAATCCTGTACTCAACGAACGTGACAGATAGTCTGCCACAGTGGACGTGGCATAATACCCATAAAATCATGGAAATGGTTCCAATGATTCTTCCACCATAAAGTTTTCACATAATAATAATAAAAAAGTATATACAGTATTTAGTCAGCCACCAACTGTGCAAGTTCTCCCACTTAAAAAGATGAGAGGCCTGTAATTTTCATCATAGGTACACGTCAACTATGACAGACAAAATGAGAAGAAAAAATCCAGAAAATCACATTGTAGGATTTTTAATGAATTTATTTGCAAATTATGGTGGAAAATAAGTATTTGGTCAATAACAAAAGTTTCTCAATACTTTGTTATATACCCTTTGTTGGCAATGACACAGGTCAAATGTTTTCTGTAAGTCTTCACAAGGTTTTCACACACTGTTGCTGGTATTTTGGCCCATTCCTCCATGCAGATCTCCTCTAGAGCAGTGATGTTTTGGGGCTGTCGCTGGGCAACACGGACTTTCAACTCCCTCCAAAGATTTTCTATGGGGTTGAGATCTGGAGACTGGCTAGGCCACTCCAGGACCTTGAAATGCTTCTTACGAAGCCACTCCTTCGTTGCCCGGGCGGTGTGTTTGGGATCATTGTCATGCTGAAAGACCCAGCCACGTTTCATCTTCAATGCCCTTGCTGATGGAAGGAGGTTTTCACTCAAAATCTCACGATACATGGCCCCATTAATTCTTTCCTTTACACGGATCAGTCGTCCTGGTCCCTCTGCAGAAAAACAGCCCCAAAGCATGATGTTTCCACCCCCATGCTTCACAGTAGGTATGGTGTTCTTTGGATGCAACTCAGCATTCTTTGTCCTCCAAACACGACGAGTTGAGTTTTTACCAAAAAGTTCTATTTTGGTTTCATCTGACCATATGACATTCTCCCAATCCTCTTCTGGATCATCCAAATGCACTCTAGCAAACTTCAGACGGGCCTGGACATGTACTGCGTTAAGCAGGGGGACACGTCTGGCACTGCAGGATTTGAGTCCCTGGCGGCGTAGTGTGTTACTGATGGTAGGCTTTGTTACTTTGGTCCCAGCTCTCTGCAGGTCATTCACTAGGTCCCCCCCGTGTGGTTCTGGGATTTTTGCTCACCGTTCTTGTGATCATTTTGACCCCACGGGGTGAGATCTTGCGTGGAGCCCCAGATCGAGGGAGATTATCAGTGGTCTTGTATGTCTTCCATTTCCTAATAATTGCTCCCACAGTTGATTTCTTCAAACCAAGCTGCTTACCTATTGCAGATTCAGTCTTCCCAGCCTGGTGCAGGTCTACAATTTTGTTTCTGGTGTCCTTTGACAGCTCTTTGGTCTTGGCCATAGTGGAGTTTGGAGTGTGACTGTTTGAGGTTGTGGACAGGTGTCTTTTATACTGATAACAAGTTCAAACAGGTGCCATTAATACAGGTAACGAGTGGAGGACAGAGGAGCCTCTTAAAGAAGAAGTTACAGGTCTGTGAGAGCCAGAAATCTTGCTTGTTTGTAGGTGACCAAATACTTATTTTCCACCATAATTTGCAAATAAATTCATTAAAAATGTGTACCTATGATGAAGATTACAGGCCTCTCATCTTTTTAAGTGGGAGAACTTGCACAATTGGTGGCTGACTAAATACTTTTTTCCCCCACTGTATACAGTTTATTGTGTTTAGTGTAGGTTTACCTTGGCCTGACATTTGATAGCCGTGTAATTCTCTCTCAGACAAGGTGAGTTTTATCAATATATTTGCCTCAATTTACTCTCAAATTTGCAATGCTAATTATTTATAATAGTTACCTTGTTTGAGAGAGATTTGTGCGGTTATCAAAACGCCAGGGTAAGCCTATACGAAACACAGACCTTATATGAAGTAGTTCGAAAATCCCAGATGGAAAAATCAACGGTGAAAAAAACGATTGGAACCATTTCTGGGTTTTATGACTGATACTGTGGTACTCAATTACTCAGGCGAACTGGGAATGCAGTCATCCCTCTGTGCAGCATGACTTGTGCTCATAATTTTTCTAGGTACACTATCACTAGCCTCTGGATAGTCCCCAACAACCGGATGTTCCGATTTTCAGGGGAAATGAAAAGAGAGCCTGTGACTCGACTTCCGCTTTTGGACGTTAACAAGGCAACACTCTTAACTCCTCTTCCACATTTACTGGATTGGTTGAACAGTGCAGAAGAGAACCTCCCCCGACAGTTTTTTCTCTTCCCATCAAAACCAGTATGTAGGGGATCTATATGTAGTTTCAGGCGTTTCTTTTACACCTGCTACGTTAAATTACATTATCACTATTAATAGTGTTTTCCACATTCATATTCTCCTGAAATGCATACCAAAACTACATTCACACAGAAAGAGGACATGAGCAAAGACGCAATGGAAAAGAAGAGACAGTATCTTTGTTTCAGTATTAACCACATCCATATTGAGAGGATGACATCATTGTTTGTGGAAAAACCAAAGCACAGTAACATACTGTACAGCAGAAGTTGTGTTGTCGCCACTCACTGACAATGCCTTACAAATCGCCCCTCAGGAATTGATACAGTCAGAGAGGTAGTCTGTTTCTATAGGACAGCATTTCTGTCCATGCTTCTATGATGATTGCAGTGTTTGCTTTGGGCTCTGTTAAGGAACAATGACTATCACAGCAAACACATTGGTTTTCATGGACGCAGCATTACTGCTACAACAGTAGCTTACAGTATGACGCACGCTGACACAGACTGAATGGGTGGATAAGTATCTCTGATCATTAATTAATTCTCTCCCCGACGTCATCAACACTTAAAAATCAGTCTCTCACCCTTCATTATCAGCCTAGAACACAATATTAAATATATTCTAGACAGATGTCTTAAAAAGTCAGCTATTAAGTCTCCATCCTAACTATGAGGTGTGGGAAAAAACTCCTATTACCTCTTTTAAGAAAAATAGTTTTAAGAAAACTCTAAATGTTGTCACATTTGGGACAGCTCAAATGTTTTATCCGTGACAGCCTGTTGACATACTGTACAGTATCTTTCACTATCTCCTATCGCCATTGAGGCAACAAGATAATATTTTCCATACAAAAGTCTTATCAAACATACAGAAAGTCAATGGGAGACATGCTGTTAGAAAGGTAGTCTGAGACATCACAAAGAAAACTGAGTAAGTATATAAGGGAAGGACCTGTCTTAAGTCACTGACCTCCTCACACACACTCACTGAAACACACACACACACATACACACACAGACAGACAGACTGAGACAACACATACACACTCACCGCTGTGGCAGCGTGTCCCCATCCAGCCCGTGGGACACTCGCACTGATAGGGCGCCACGCACCGCCCGCCGTTCAGACACGGCAGGATGCAGATCGCTGTGATTTGATTGGACAAACACAAACAAAGTCGTCCTCAATTGTCTTTCACCTCACTGACTAGGCCTATGGGGTCATCCACCACAGGCAAGCTGTGTGTGGTGGGTAGGAAGCAATGTCAAAAGAGCAGCCTTCTCTCCGGCTACGTCCAAAATGGCACCCTATTCCTTATATAGTGTACTACCCTACTGAACAAAAATATAAACAAAACATATAAAGTGTTGGTCCCATGTTTCATTAGCTGAAAGAAAAGATCCCAGAAATGTTCCATATGCACAAAAAGCTTATCTCATTTTGTACACAAATTTGTTCACATCCCTGTTAGTGAGCATTTCTCCTTTGCCAAGATAACCCATCCACTTGACAAGTGTAGCATATCAAGAAGCTGATTAAACAGCATGATCATTACACAGGTGCACTTCTGCTGGGGACAATAAAAGGCTACTCTAAAATGTGCAGTTTTGTCACACAACACAATGCCACAGATGTCTCAAGTTGTGAGGGAGCGTGCAATTGGCATGTTGACTGCAGGAATGTCCACCAGAGCTGTTGCCAGAGAATTGAATGTTAATTTTTCTACCATGAGTCACCTTCAACGTCGTTTTAGAGAATTTGGCAGTACGTCCAACCGGCCTCACAACCGCAGATCACGTGTAACCATGCCAGCCCAAAACCTCCACACCCGGCTTCTTCACCTGCAGGATCGTATGAGATCAGCTACCCAGACAGCTGATGATGTTTTGCACAACCGAAGAATTTCTGCACAAACTGTCAGAAACCGTCTATTAAAAGCTAATCTGTGTGCTCGTCATCCTCACCAAGGTCTTGACCTGACTGCAGTTCGGTGTCATAACCAACTTCAGTGGGCAAATGCTCACCTTCGATGGCTACTTGCACGATGGAGAAGTGTGCTCTTCACGGATGAATCCCGGTTTCAACTGTACCGGGTAGATGGCAGACCACGTGTATGGCGTTGTGTGGGCGAGCGGTTTGCTGATGTCAATGTTGTGAACAGAGTGCCCCATGGTGGCAGTGGGGTTATGGTATGGGCAGGCATAAGCTACGGATATCGAATACAATTGTATTTTATCGATGGCAATTTGAATGCATAGAGATACCGTGACAAGATCCTGAGGCCCATTGTCGTGCCATTCATCCGCCGCCATCACCTCATGTTTCAGCATGATAATGCACGGCCCCATGTCGCAAGGATCTGTACACAATTCCTGGAAGCTGAAAATGTCCCAGTTCTTCCATGGCCTGCATACTCATCAGACCCATTGAGCATGTTTGGTGTGCTCTGAATCGACGTGTACGACAGCGTGTTCCAGTTCCCTCCAATATCCAGCAACTTCGCACAGCCATTGAAGAGGAGTGGGACAACATTCCACAGGCCACAATCAACAGCCTGATTCACTACATGCGAAGGAGATGTGTCACGCTGCATTGGGTAAATGGTGGTCACACCAGATACTAACTGGTTTTTCTGATCCACGCCCCAATTCTTTTTCTAAGGTATCTGTGACCAACAGATGCATATCTGTATTCCCAGTCATGTGAAATCCATAGATTAGAGCCTAATGCATTTATTTTAATTGACTGATTTCCTTATATGAACTGTAGCTCAGTAAAATCTTTGAAATTGTTGCATGTTGCCTTTATATATTTTGTTCAGTGTATATACATGTATATATAGTGTGGTACTTTTCATCAGAGCCCAATCAATGAGTGCTCTATATACTGTGAATAGGGTGCCATTTCGGACTCAACCCCTCTCACTTGGGAAAAATAATGCAAAAAAAGGATGTGAAAAGATTTCACACAGAAGGGGATTGTGAATCTCCTTAACTCTGTAAAGTTAATCTAGTCAAAGAGAGTGAATTTCCCAGAGTCAGTGAAACAGTGTGGGTCTTCTCATGGCTGCAGTGTGGATCCACTTTCTCTAACACAGACTCTTTGGTTGTGATGAGAGTAGGGAGTGAGGTCCAAATACTTCTCTCTCTCTCTCTACTGTTTCTCTCTCAATCTACATCTATTTTTCTTCATGTGCTACCTCTCTCTCTCTCTCTCTCTCTCTCTCTCACACACTCACTCTAGTTCTTTATCTCTCCCTCTATAATTACAATATTATATTATTAGAGTATTATTACAATATTATTACAGAACAGAGAAAAAATATCATGTTTTGCTACAATTTTGGCAAAAACGATTGTATGATTATAATACAATCACAAAGCAGGTGCTATGATTCCACAGGAAATAGGCCTATGGGAGTTTTTTTTAAATGCTCCAGATTAAAAATATTGGTACATCCAGAGACCAAAAAGCATAACAGATAAACACATTTTTGATTTGCAGGAGGGTGGAATTACATTGAATCAAAGTTATAATCATATTGATTAGAGAATAGAGAGCAATGCATCATGGTAGATTTGAGATTGCTATAGAAAGAAATCTAATAAATGTCACTATCACTCTTACTTTGGGTGAAACCTGAGAGCCTGCCAAACACACTATGTGCATTGCCTAGGCACATTTTCTGTTACTGGAAATCACGTTACATCATTTCCCCAAAACTATTAAGGAAACTGCATGCTGAGTCATAATGGAAGCAGAGATAACTGTAGCTCAGTTGGTAGAGCATGGCGCTTGCAACGCCAGGGTTGTGGGTTCGATTCCCACGGTGGGCCAGTATGAAAAATGTATGCACTCACTAACTGTAAGTCGCTCTGGATAAGAGCGTCTGCTAAATGACTAAAATGTAAAAATATCTGAGTGAGTCTGTGTTCACAGATAGATTCACAATGCCCAGTGTGTCTATTTTTGTTTCTAGGACACTGTCTGCCCATCCATTCAAAATAAATGTGATTGATTGATTTATAATACTTACGTTCCTCACACAGTCTACCCATCCACCCCTCAGGACAGGAACAGGTGTTTGGTCTGTGACACACCCCTCCGTTCAGGCACTGCAGCCAACACACCGCTGGAGAGGAAAGGCACACAAACACACATGCCTTATTAAAGCCAAAATACTGACACATCCTCCAAACAGTCCCCATCTAATGAATGTGTAGATGGGAGAGAAAGCATTCAGTTAAAATAGCCAATCCTGTTAAATAGAAATGAGAAAATGTGACTGGTAGCCATGCTGTGATTGGGCCTTGACCATGCGACTTCATGCACTGGGATAAAACTAGCATTCATAAAGACAGCATTCCTTTATAGAAACGGTTCAATTCATAACTGATGGTGCCTTAGACACAGGCATCCCAGGACAACCCTGCTATCTAGTATGTAAAAGTAAAGTGGGAAGTGTACGAGTGGAGTGGTGAATGTGCTCAGTACAAGGGACTGGAGAAGCAGAGGGGAGGGCACGCAAGCTGTCAGGAGTAGAGGATGTCCTCCTTTTAGGACGCAGTAGGGGTGCAGTCTCTCTACCTCTGCAGGCGGGAGGGGGGGTCCAGGTCCCGTTCTCCAGACACACACTCCTGCTGTGGCCCTCCATGGCGTACCCTCCAAAACACGAGTACACCGCCAGGTCCCCGAACTGGAACACCGCCCCCCGCACCACCCCGTGGGCCACGTGGAGAGGGGGGCCGCAGGAGACCCCTGTTCCGAAACGGACGGACAGACCCTCTGGTTACTTACAACTAATTTGGGCCACATGTTATGCCCATGTTATATGCACATGTTATATACATGTTATCACACATGTGCCTTTAAACTCATTTGGGCCACTGTGTGCTTGAAATAAGTGAGTTTTAATTGTAAGCAAGCAGTCTGTTTCTGCTATTCAATGGACCAACATTGCTTCATATTTTCCCTTCAATAGAACCACCTGACTATAAAGATCGCGTTGAAGGAAAAAAGTGTGAATGCCATGCAAAGATGTGTCAAATGATGTATCCAAAATGTGTGCTTGTGTTTGTGATTCTACAGTATGTGTTCCTTGTAAGAAGGCCTTGAAAACCAAACCAACCAATGAGAATCAGTTAGTGTTGGAGTCCACAGGGCAGGCCTCAACAAGCAAGAGCCAGGCAGAAATGCAAATACATTGACCTCCACACACCATACCAAACAGCACTGTACTGTAAACCAACACTATCACCAACAAACAATCATGCACGTTAGGGAGAATTAAAACACAGTGTAAACACACTGTGAATGGTTTCCATAGCAGCTTAAAGCCCATAATGAGTTGCAAACATACTATGTTTCGAAGAACAGCGCCGGAAGAAGATGGCTGCCGTTTTACAGCCCTCTAACCAATTGTACTATTATGTGTGTTTTTCCGCGTTATTTGTAATTTATTTTGTACATAATGTTTATGCCATCGTCTCTTATAACCAAAGAGAGCTTCTGGATATCAGGACAGCGATTACTCACCTCGCGTTGGACGAACACTTTTTTTTCAACGAGGCGTTCGCGAAGGATATTCTACAGACTCCAGACAAGGCCCAGATCCCCGTCATTCGCGTGAGGAAGAGACGGAGATACCGTGGACGTAGGTCGGGGTGCCTTGTAAAGATCCGACGGCGAACGAGTAAACTGCCTCTCCCATCAATCCTATTAGCCAACGTTCAAGCTTTGGATAATAAAATGGACGATTTAAGATTACGGTTATCCTACCAACGGGACATTAAAAACTGTAATATCTTATGTTTCACGGAGTCGTGGCTGAATGACAACAATGACAACATTCAGCTAGCAGGCTATACGCTACATCGGCAGGACAGAACGGCAGACTCGGGTAAGACGAGGGGTGGCGGTCTCTGTATTTTTGTAAACAACAGCTGGTGCACAAAATCAAATACTAAGGAAGTCTCAAGGTTTTGCTCGCCTGAGGTAGAGTATCTTATGATAAGCTGTAGACCACACTATTTACCAAGAGAGTTTTCATCTATACTTTTCATAGCTGTCTATTTACCACCACAAACCAATGCTGGCATTAAGATTGCACTGAATGAGTTGTACAAGGCCATTAATCAACAGGAAAACGCTCATCCAGATGCAGCGCTCCTAGTAGCAGGGGACTTTAATGCAGGGAAACTTAAATCCGTTCTACCTCATTTCTACCAGCATGTTAAATGTGCAACCAGAGGGGAAAAAACTCTAGACCACCTTTACTCCACACACAGAGACGCATACAAAGCTCTCCCTCGCCCTCCATTTGGCAAATCTGACCATAACTCTATCCTCCTGATTCCTGCTTATAAGCAAAAACTGAAGCAGGAAGCACCAGTGACTCGGCTAATAAAAAAGTGGTCAGATGACGCAGATGCTAAGCTACAGGACTGTTTTGCTAGCACAGACTGGAACATGTTCAGGGATTCTTCAGACAGCATTGAGGAGTACACCACATCAGTCACTGGCTTCATCAATAAGTGCATCGATGATGTCGTCCCCACAGTGACCGTACGTACATACCCCAACCAGAAGCCATGGATTACAGGAAACATCCGCACTGAGCTAAAGGGTAGAGCTGCCGCTTTCAAGGAACGGGACTCTAACCCGGACGCTTATAAGAAATCCCGCTATGACCTCCGACGAACCATCAAACAGGCAAAGAGTCAATACAGGTCTAAGATTGAATCATACTACACTGGCTCTGACGCTCGTCGGATGTGGCAGGGCTTGAAAACTATTACAGACTACAAAGGGAAGCACAGCCGCGAGCTGCCCAGTGACACAAGCCTACCAGACGAGCTAAACCACTTCTATGCTCGCTTCGAGGCAAGCAACACTGAAGCATGCATGAGAGCACCAGCTGTTCCGGACGACTATGTGATCACGCTCTCCGTAGCCGATGTGAGTAAGACTTTTAAGCAGGTCAACATTCACAAGGCCGCAGGGCCAGACGGATTACCAGGACGTGTACTCCGAGCATGTGCTGACCAACTGGCAAGTGTCTTCACTGACATTTTCAACATGTCCCTGACTGAGTCTGTAATACCAACATGTTTCAAGCAGACCACCATAGTCCCCGTGCCCAAGAACTCTAAGATAACCTGCCTAAATGACTACCGACCCGTGGCACTGACGTCTGTAGCCATGAAGTGCTTTGAAAGACTGGTCATGGCTCACATCAACAGCATAATCCCAGAAACCCTAGACCCACTCCAATTTGCATACCGCCCCAACAGATCCACAGATGATGCAATCTCTATCGCACTCCACACTGCCCTTTCCCACCTGGACAAGAGGAACACCTACGTGAGAATGCTATTCATTGACTACAGCTCAGCATTCAACACCATAGTGCCCTCAAAGCTCATCACTAAGCTAAGGATCCTGGGACTAAACACCTCCCTCTGCAACTGGATCCTGGACTTCCTGACGGGCCGCCCCCAGGTGGTAAGGGTAGGTAACAACACATCTGCCACACTGATCCTCAACACGGGGGCCCCTCAGGGGTGCGTGCTCAGTCCCCTCCTGTACTCTCTGTTCACCCATGACTGCATGGCCAGGCACGACTCCAACACCATCATTAAGTTTGCCGACGACACAACAGTGGTAGGCCTGATCACCGACAACGATGAGACAGCCTATAGGGAGGAGGTCAGAGATCTGGCCGTGTGGTGCCAGGACAACAACCTCTCCCTCAACGTGACCAAGACAAAGGAGATGATTGTGGACTACAGGAAAAAAAAGAGGACTGAGCACGCCCCCATTCTCATCGACGGGGCTGTAGTGGAACAGGTTGAGAGCTTCAAGTTCCTTGGTGTCCACATCACCAACGAACTATCATGGTCCAAACACACCAAGACAGTCGTGAAGAGGGCACGACAAAGCCTATTCCCCCTCAGGAGACTAAAAAGATTTGGCATGGGTCCTCAGATCCTCAAAAAATTCTACAGCTGCACCATCGAGAGCATCCTGACTGGTTGCATCACCGCCTGGTATGGCAACTGCTTGGCCTCTGACCGCAAGGCACTACAGAGGGTAGTGCGTACGGCCCAGTACATCACTGGGGCAAAGCTCCCTGCCATCCAGGACCTCTATACCAGGCGGTGTCAGAGGAAGGCCCTCAAAATTGTCAAAGACTCCAGTCACCCTAGTCATAGACTGTTCTCTCTGCTACCGCACGGCAAGCGGTACCGGAGTGCCAAGTCTAGGTCCAAAAGACTTCTCAACAGCTTCTACCCCCAAGCCATAAGACTCCTGAACAGCTAATCATGGCTACCCGGACTATTTGCACTGCCCCCCCACCCCATCCTTTTTACGCTGCTGCTACTCTGTTAAGTATTTATGCATAGTCACTTTAACTCTACCCACATGTACATATTACCTCAACTAGCCGGTGCCCCCGCACATTGACTATGCAACGGTACCCCCCTGTATATATAGCCTCCCTACTGTCACTTTATTCTATTGTATATATAGCCTCCCTACTGTCACTTTATTTTTTACTTCTGCTCTTTTTTTCAAACTGTTGTTGTTTTATCTATTTTTTGTTAAAATAATGCACGTTGAAGAACGTAAACATCTTTGGAATGTCTCACCTGTAGCTCAGCCAATAATGAGTTTGAGCATTGACATGCTATGAAGACAACAGATCTTGTGGTCCTCTGTAGCTCAATCGGTAGAGCATGGCGCTTGTAACGCCAGGGTAGTGGGTTCGATCCCCGGGACCACCCATATGTAAAAATGTATGCACACATGACTGTAAGTCGCTTTGGATAAAAGCGTCTGCTAAATGGCATATTATTATTATTATAGATCTGCTTAATGTGTAACCCATTCATCCAGCCTAACACACGCTGCCCACAGAGACGGGAGAGGAGGTGATGGAAAAGTCCAACAGAACATAGTAAGGATCCATGCCCAATGTGCAGTAGGCAGGCCATGCGGATAGCATAAGAGAAACAATGTGTGGTGGATCTTTTATGTAGATTCATTGTTTTTGATGGATTTCTATAACTGTTATGTTATGAATCGATTCACTTCTGGATAGTAAAAATCGTTTTAGAAAAAACAGTGGACTTGATTCAGTATCATGACCCAAATTATCCCAGAGAGAGACCATTATATCACCTAAGCCACTGCACAGATGCCTCTTTGTACAAGTACAGACCCAACCCCACCCTTCATTAGAGAAACACAAGCTTGGAAGCGAACACAGCAACAGGAAATGCTTTTGCTATGCAAATAACCAGAGTATTCCCCTGTAGCTCAGCCCCACGGGGGCCAGTTTGAACATGATAAGAGCGTCTGCTAAAATGACAAAAAATGTAAAATGTGTCAGGGATTTCCCTCTGTGAATCATGTTTTCATAATCCTTGCTAGTTTACACATTTCTAACCACTGTGTTGGGATTTCAGAACGACAGGGGATTCAGTATGTAAGCAGCTAAAACTGCTAAAAACATGCCTGTGTGGTTTTAACATGTTCTGTTCATGGGTCAAGGCATGTATCGGTACGTGTAACCACTTGTGTGAGAATACAATGTGTTTCTCTTTTACACCCACAGACTCAAGTGATATCTGACTGTCTTGTTGTCTGTTGGGAACGTGGAGTGATACTAGGAGTCTAAGAAAGAACTAGATCTCTTTTCAGGTCATTATTGTAAAAGAGAACATGTTCTCAATGACTTACCTGGTTAAATAAAGGGAAAACAGTATATTGGAGTGGGCTCCTACCCGGTTAAAGGGTAACCACTGAAAAACTATATATTTTTCCCGTTAGTTCACTGTTGATACAGTCACAAAAGGATTTGCATGTCAGCAGTCAAGTTTTCAAGATATTGGACTTTTAAAGTATCACCGGCAACATGATGATGATGATGATGCAACAATATCAATATGATGACTCATACTCAACCGTCTTCATCTCAGTAACTCATATCTAATCCGTCAGAGCTACCCTCTGGAACATGGATGTTCTACCTAGGCTGCGTCTGAAATTCACTTTATAGTGCACTGCTTTTAAAACAAGGGCCCATAGGGCTCGGGTCAAAAGTAGTGCACTATATAGGGAACAGGGTGCCATTTAGGACGCAAACTAGAGAACACACTTTATGGCTGTACTGTTTTTATGGCTGTTTTTGTTTTTAATAAACCAATAACCTTAAAGTGTACCAGGTGAAGGGATGGTGAGAGAATGAGAAATGAAGATTAAATCCCTCTATCTTGACCTAGAATTGTACACTTTATCTTGAAATCCTTGTCTCGTTCCTGGTAATTGATGGGTTGGTGTAGTCGATCTACCAGTCATATCTTACATTGCTGACCAGACACTCTCGGAGTAGTGTACTATGTTGTCATGATGTGGTAGGTTTTGGTGTTAAGGCTTTCCTTCAAGTCCTGCGCTAACACACCTGATTCAACTAAACCCTTGTTTTCGTGGTTGAAATGGTTTACCATTATCTTTATTTAACCATGCCAATTAAGGTAATTGAGAACACATTCTCTTTTACAATAACGACCTGATCGGGTATGTTAGTACTGGGCTGGAACAAAACCCTGCCCCCCAAGTAGGTCTCCAGGACCAGAACCAGGATTAAAGAACAGTAGTTAAAAGTCTATCTACTCACTCTCACAGACAGTGCTGATTGGGGTCCATGTCTGGTCTGTCCTACAGGTGATGGTGGTGGTGGCCTTGGCCTTGGCCTGGTGACCTTTGGGACAGGTGAACGGTAATGACTGGCCCACGTAGAACAGCTTTTTAGAGGTGTTCACACTCCCACTGCTCACCTTCCATCCAGGGGGAGGGGGACACGGCTTGGCTGCATGGGGAGACACAGAGTATCCTGTAGTATTGGATTACACTGTAGACAGGTTTGACAAATGTCTATGTGGGTAAAATGTTTGTGAGAAGAATACCAGTTGGAGACAATTCATGCTTATGTATAGAGTATAATGGTGGATTACAGACAGGTTCGGCATAAACCCAGGTGCTACATGTAAATGTCATAACAAGGTGTGTAAATGTTTGTGAGACTATGCAAGCTGTGTGCTCGGTGCTCTTCATGATATTATTTTCAGGTTGTTAGCTACTGACGAAGTCAGTTTTGAAACAGCATGTGAAACAGTGGGTGGGGATGTTGCGAAATATGCCAAGCATTGTGTGCATCGGCCCTCCCCTCCCTCTGTGGTCTGTTGTGTAAACTAAAGAATGTGAGGAAATACAACTGGTATCTCTGATCGGTTTCAACAGTCAGTGTGTAGATTGGAAACAATTATTCAACGGGTGGGTCTAATCCTGAATGCTGATTGGTTAAAACAGCATCTAGAATTTTACCACCGGCTAAATCTATGACGTTAAATGCCTATTTACTCTATTCCAGATTGTAAACAAATAGAAAGAACAGAGCCTGAGATAAATGAATAAGATAAAACCAGCAGCATTGATTGTCTCCTTTATTTTGTCTATGAATAGGGCCAGGAGGTATCCCTGACCATGTGACCTGTCCCAGAAAAACTCCTGTAACACATTCATGTTGGTTGTGATGTTGTAGTGATGTTGGTTTGTCTCGAAGTCTTACGTTGACAGAAGGGGAAGATGGAGCTCCATGTCCCGTCTCCCATACACACCACCAGAGCGTCACCCTGTAGGGTGTAGCCTTTATCACACTGAAACGCAACAGCACGCCCGGTGGTCAGGTTCTGTTCCTGCACCCTACCATTTAACAGCTCCTTGGGGATGCCACAACCCTGGCCAACTGAGAGGAGAGGGAGAAAGAGAGCGAGAGAGAGAGAGGGAGGGAAAGAGAGAGATATGAAGAACTAATTGATGATGATTTTTCCATTGTCTATTTCAATAGCTCGAGTAGATTACAAGTTACCTGTCTTAAATACCTTAGAGGACAATATGATCAACCTGGAATAACGGGTCTTCCATACCTTCACATGTTGGTGCAGGCAGGGTCCATGTTCCATTGGCCAGACAGGTGAGGTTCTGTGGGCCAACCAGGTGTAAGCCAGGGTTGCACACATAGGTGACGTTGCCCTGGTACGTTTCATCTGATGTCTGTACCTCTGCATTCTCCACAGAGGGAGGTGGGCCACATGATACAGCTGAGGACACAGGACATTTGGATGTGGAAAATAGTAATCATTTCTGCTAAATTGGTGCATTTAAACGTATTCACTCACGCACATTCTATCAGTATGCAAATTGACACAAATGAACAATTCCATTCTATATCAAAACTTCTCTCTCACACACACACACACACACACTTACTGACACACATAGGCTGAGCCCCACTCCATGTTCCTCCTCCTTGACAGGTCTGTACAGAGTCTCCCTGTAATAGAGTGAGTTGCCTTATTACAGACACCGTGTATCTATACAAAAATAGACACTGGGAATTGTGAATCTATCTGTTAACACAGACTCACTCAGCTCTCTCTGCTTCCATTATGACTCAGCATGCACTTTCATTAATGGTTTTGGGGAAATGATGTCGTGATTTCCAGTAATAGAAAATGTGCCTAGGCAATGCACATAGTGTGTTTGACAGGCTCTCAGGTTTCACCCAAAGTAAGAGTGATAGTGACATTTATTAGATTTCTCACTGTAGCAATCTCAAATCTACCATGATGCATTGCTCTCTATTCTCTATCAAAATATAATCATAATAATTAATATTATTATAACTTTGATTCAATGTAATTCCACCCTCCTGCAAATCAAAAATGTGTTTATCTGTTCAGCTTTTTGGTCTCTGGAAATACCAATATTTGTTTCTCTATTCTTTAATAATATTGTAATAATTCTGTAATAATATAATATTGTGGTGGTATAATATTGTATCAGACTGTCAAATATTACCTTCATCTCAAACCCAGGCAGGCAGGTGTACAAGACAATGTCTCCGTAGCTGTAACTGTCCCCCTCAGTGATGCCATGTGGAAGAAGAGGAGGTTTCTCACAAACCACCAGACCACAGGACACAGAGGAGAGGCCTGGAGACCAGTTACCACCCAGCTACCGTATAACATAAAGAAATAGTCATGAAATTAATTAATATTCAGTAAACATTTAGCTAACATTTAGCTAAATCACATGAAATGAATGATGTGAATAACCCAGTAGTCGAGATAAAAGGTGATAAAATTTACCAGAGGTAAAGTTCTGACTAGGTTCTGTCTGTTATTCTTCAGCATTCTGATGAAGGCCTTTTGGGCCAAAACATCAATGCAATTGATGAAAAAACAAATTTCACCACATTAAAATTTGACACAGTAGCAGTCTCACTTGGCACTCTGCCAGGCCTGGTCCCTGCAGGATGAAACCCGTTGGGCAGGAGAGGGTGACTACCCCCCCAACCGGGGTGAGGTCCTCCCCCGTGACCAGGACGTGGGTGGTGAGGTTGGCAGGGAGCGAACACGGGGCGGGGCGGCACCTGATGCTGTGTTTAGACCAGGTGCCCTCAGATTGACAGCTTAGAGAGTCAGACTGGCTGGACAGCTCATACCCCTCATCACACCTGGAGAGAGGGGGGAGAGGGAAATGAAATACCATACTATCTACTTGAATAGTGGTACTTCTCTAACACAAAGATTGGACAAATAAGATACAGAAGTTCATATTCACCTGTATTGGATCTGGCTCCCAAAGGTGAATATCTCTCCCACCACCTGAGCATGAGGTACAGGAGTTGGCGCTCCACAGGAGACGGGCTCACAGCTGATCCTCACCTCCCCCCACCTGCCCTCCCTACCACAGGTAACATGGGGGTAGGACCCCTTCATCTGGTAACCCGGCCTGCACCTGTAGGTGACTGTGTCAGGTGCAGTGGCGCTGCCGCCCTGCAGGACAGCGTGGGGTATTGTAGGCGGAGCGGCCACACACCTCCCCCGGCCACACACAGGAACACCTGGGCTCCACAACCCGCCCTTCTCACACGTTGCCGCTGACGGCCCCAGGATCTTGTAGCCCTCATCACAGTGGAAGGAGACCCGGTCGCCGCAGGCGTGGTCGTGCCCCAGCACCACCCCATATTTTAACACTGGAGGGGTGCAGAGGCAGGGGAGGCACTCTGGTACCGTCCCAAGCCAGTGGCCCTGGGCAGAACAGCGGAGGACGGGGTCTCCAACGACCTCGTACCCGTCGAAACACACGTACTCGACGACGTCATCGTAGTTGAAGCTGGAGCCGTTGAGGAACCCGTGGCTGATGTCCTGCGGCGGGCCACAGGCAATGATGTCACAGCGAGGGGCAGGGCCTTCCCCCCAGAGTCCATCCCCGCGACACAACCGTGTGGGGTTGCCGCCGCTGAGGCTGTACCCCTCCTCGCACTTGTAACGCACCTCACGACCGTAGCCAAAGTCCGAGCCCAGGACTTGACCATTTTGGATGGATGTTGGTCTGCCACAGTTTGCCAGGCGGCATTCAGGTGACCCTTGACTCCATGTACCATCGGCCTGACACACACTAACAGAGGGGCCTTGTAGGAACAATCCAGGCTTACAGCTCAGCTCAACCTGTTTGTTAAACGTATATTCCTTCCCCTTCACAGTGACATCACTAGGGACGACTGGAGAGCCACATAAGACAGGCTCACACCACGGCTTCTCACCATCCCACCTACTGTCTGCCTGACAGGTCCTGGTGTTGCCACCCTTCAGGATGAACCCGGAATTACACTCGTAACGCAACACTCCCAGATACAGAAAGGAGTCCACGTGGTTCGAGCCGTTATCAATGTTTCCCGGGTCATTGCAGGTTATAGGTCGGCAGACAGGCGGTACATCGCTCCACTGTCGGGCCGCCACACACTGTCTGACTGACTCCCCCTCTAACTCGTAGCCCACCTCACAGCTGTACTTCACCAGGCTGCCCAGGGTTGTGTCTGTGATGTTCACAGAGCCGTGGTCCGGGCTGGGCGGCTCCTCACACTCTGAAGGGACACACATCGGAGCTGTCCCATTCCATCCACCATCCTCCAGGCACAATAAGGCCGTAGGGGCTGTAAGCTCGTAGCCCTTGTGGCAGCGGTACACTATCACAGTCCCATGCAGGAAGCTCATATCCGTGGGTGAAAATGCCACTGTAGCGCCACCTATAGGCTTGGAGGTTATAGCCGCATCCCTGCCGGCTAGCTCTGCGTTCAGATCCAAGAGCCTCAAATACTCGCCGAAGTCGATATGAGGGGGCAGGCCGCAGTCGGAGGGAACACAGACTGGGACAGAACTAGACCAACCGAACTCCTCGCAGGTCAGGTGGTTCTGGCCGACCAATTGGAAGCTGGGGAAACAGCTGTAGAAGATGGTGACGCCGAATTTGTGGTCGAGTCCCTCCACGAAGCCGTTGTCTATGGGTTTGGGCGGGGCGCAGTAGATCTGGACACACAAGGGTGTTTTCTTGATCCCACTGCCCGTTTGCCAGACACTTCAATGTCTCGGGGCCTTGGAGACGGTAACCACGGCGACAGGAGTAGGTGACAGCGTGGCTGAACTGGAGTTTGGTATACGCCACCTTCCCATTGGGTATCTCTTTGGGGATGGAGCACTCGATTGGTCGACAAGAAGGCACGCCTCCAATCCATAGCCCACTTTCACCACAGAGTACCGTAGTGTTGCCCACTAAAGTATAACCAGGTTTACAGCTGTAAAGGGCCGTGCTGAGGTACATCAGTCCCTGAACATCCACTATACCGTTAGCTATCTCTACAGGTTGGGGACACTCTACTGGTATACACTCTGGGACAGGGCTGCTCCAGTATCCATCCGCCTGGCAGGTCACAGACCCCTCCTTCCTCAGAGTAAACCCGTCCATGCAGGAGTAGCTCACCACCGAGCCGAAATAGGACAGGGCCGACAACAGTGCCGACGACGGGTCGCCGAAGGCCACCTCGGGAGATGGGCCGCAGAACACCTGCTTGCAGACGGGGAAGGTGTCATTCCACTCCTGGGCGGGGGTGCAGCGGAGGGTCCGGGCGCCGTGGAGAACATACCCCTCCTCGCAGGACAGTTCTACAGTTCCGGAGTCGGAGTCTAGACTACGTAGAACCAGGTGGTTCTCCTCTAGGGGCGGCTCTGGACACCGGACCGGGGAGCAGCGCGGACGCCTCGATTTGTCCCACTTGCCGTACTTCAGACATGTCCACACGCCGTCACCAGCAAGCTCGTAGCCCTCATCACAGACGTACTCGACCTTGCGGCCCACCTCGAAGACGGAGCCACGGTATTGGCCGTGCAGGATGCTGGGCGGTGGGTCGCAGGTCAGGAGGTGGCAGACGGGTGAGTCGCCGTTGGACCACTGGCGGTTAGCCAGGCACAATCGCTCCGGACGGCCCGTCAGCCGGTAGCCAGCGTTGCATGCGTATGTCACTTTGCTGTTGAAGATGAAACGGCCTTTATTCTGTAGTGTGAAACACAGAAGAAGATGTTTTATGGTACAGAGAGGACACTGTGTTTTGACTGAGATGAAGCAAGATCTCTTGCCAGAAAGAATGAGAAGGATCTTTCTCTATGATCGAATTAGATGACCAAGCACAGGAACGAGTGGGCCGCCTGATGGAATCAATTACAAAGTTGAAACTCAGAAATTTAACTTGTAGTTGTTTTTACTCAATTAATGGACTTACAAAATGTATAATATTTTTGTTTGTAATGAATACAGTTAGGAACAAGGTACCTGGATGAATCCATTTTTGAGTGACGGGGGGAAGGGGCAGGAGACAGGCTGACAGACAGGTAGGACCCCTCCCCACTCTCCATTGGCCTTACATGTCCTCCTCTTCTCCCCTCGGATCAGGAAACCCTTATCACAGCTGTACGCCACCATCGCTCCAAAACTATAGTTGGTTCCACTCACATACCCCCTCACGATGCCAGTCGGTTTGGAGCACCGCACCGGCACGCAACCCACATCGTATGGCGAGGGCATCCATTCCCCTCCAATCATGCATTTCAATGTGGCGGTTGTGTTGAGGACGAAGCCCTCTTCACATTTGTAGCTGACCTCTGTGTTGCTGGCGTACTTGGGTTTATTGGCGGAGTCCAAGATGGCGTGGGGTAGGTCAGGCGGGCGCTGGCAGAAGTTGGCGATGCAGCGAGGGGCCTCCTGGCCTTCGGGGGGCGCCCACAGTCCCTGGGCGTTGCAGACCACCTTGAAATCAAATCAAACTTTATTTAACTTTGCATTTAGCATCGCAACACACTTACTTTTTGTTAACAATAAAATGAAAGACATCAAAACAAACAAAGGGCAATAAAAGAGATGAATAACCTTGGAGTTGTTGCCGGCGGTGTAGCCGTCTGTGCAGAAGTAGTTGGCCATGTCGCCAAACAGCTGGTGGCCGGCATGGGCAATGGCGTGGTCTATGGAAGGGGGAGGGCCACAGGAGCGGGGGACACACTGAGCGGAGGTAGGACTCCATTGGCCAGTTGACAGGCACTCTCTGGTCTCTGGTCCAATCAGAGTGTATCTGTGGGGACACGGAGACAATAAAATGTGGATCAGGACAGGAAGTAATAAATCCAACAATATAACTAAAAGTAAAGATACAAAATCGTATACCATTACTGCTTGTACAACTACATACTGTAACAACTACTTGAACTGTAACCTCGCCCCAAGCTCGATTTGCTGACGCATTGAGCCTGGTAACACTGTGCAACAAAGTAGGACTTGAAAAGGGTGCGGTTAAAATCGAGGCGGGAGAGGGAGCGAGCATGCTACAGCTGTATTATTCGCTAATCAAAATAAATGTTCTATCACGTTAACCATACAATTTTTTCGGAAGCCCAATTGATTCGGAGTTCAGGCATATAACGTTTATATGTGAAAACTATTTCTAAGATGCGTACTTTCAGATTTTCCAAACTCACTTCCTTAAATGACTTGCCCTGCTCACGCTTTGAAGACCACAATGTAGGGGGGAGGGTTATGCTAATGAGCTGAGAGATCAGCCAATTAAAATCAGCGGTTGTTTCGTCCGCTCTTGCCATAGACTTGTGAAACCAGACGGTTTGACAGAGAGAGCCGGCTGGTGGACGAGATTACTTGAACTGTGACTTTAATGGTAATAACTCTAACGCTAACATTGAGGCATGTCTTACAACACTCGCAAAGCCCAAATGCCTGGAATACAAGGCCTCAATTGAGTTAACATACTAGTTACCCTTCTTTGCAGACGTAGTGCACCTTGTTGCCCAGGGCGTGGTCGTCCCCAATGGTCGCGGCGTCTCCGAGGGCAGGAGGGTCTCCACAGTGTATGCTGGCACACAAAGGGGTGGGGCTGCTCCACTCACCTGACGCCTCACACACCACCTCCTCAGAGCCCTGCAGTCTTAACACACGCACACCTTTTACACACAATATATCTATACTCATACACACACACAATCTATAACACTCACAACACTTTTAAGCAGTATGCCCAGCAACAGTAGTATGTTACTTTCTATCACATATTTCCTAGCTACCACTTTCAGTCACTACATCGAGGGAGGAGCTTCAATCTATAGAATGTCTTATACTTTTAGATGGATAAGGATCTTATCCTTTTATGAAGCCTTCATGAACCCTTTATAAGACCTATAATACCAGGGACTGCTGATCTAGGATCAGTTTCACCTTTTAGATTACGATGAATACGATTATATGGACAGTTGGAGACCTGATCCTAGATCAGCACTCCCACTCTGAGACGCTATGTGGATATAAGACCAGAAATGATAACCCAGGACCGACTTCATCCTTACCTGTATCCCTCTGCACAGGTGTAGATCACTGTGGACAGGTAGGTTTTCCCTTTGAGGGTGAAATCTGAATTGTCTACGTGTGGAGGGTCCCCGCAGGTGACTGGTTGACAGGCAGGGGGCGCTCTGCTCCACTTCAGACTGGCTTGACACTGCATATCATAGGGGTCACCTGGGACGAACCCCTTAACGCAGCTGAAGTGGACCAGAGAGATATAGATACATTCATAATGGGGAATACGGGAGACATGGCAATGTAAATAGAGGTTTATTTCAACAACTATCTATCAGCTTAATGCTCATGGAAATGCATTTGGTTGTTGATATCTTTACAGTAAGTAACACATACAGTATCTTAATTGGAAAGAGAAAATATAGAACAGAATATATTTGATCTCATAATGCAGCATTATCTCAATGTAACAGCAAATTCATATTGTTGTTACGTCTAAATGGTCTCCTTTGTCAGTATGACACTTGTTGTAAATGGCTGACGGTGGTACCTGAAAGTCACCTTGCTTCCAAACGTGAAGTTGGTCCCCATCATCATAGTGTTCTCTGGGACAGAGGGCTGTCCACAGGAGAGGGCTGAGGGACAAGACAAGACCGTGGGGGCTGATCAGTTTTATTAAAATAAACTGCTTTCAGAAAGTTCTTAGGTAAATAATGTTCGATCATGTTATGTTGTTCTATAATACAGTCGTGGTCAAAAGTTTTGAGAATGACACAAGTATTGGTCTTCACAAAGTTTGCTGCTTCTGTGTTATGAGATATTTTTGTCAGATGTTACTATGGTATACTGAAATATAATTACAAGCATTCCATAAGTGTCAAAGGCTTTTATTGACAATTACATTAAGTTTATGCAAAGAGTCAATATTTGCAGTGTTGACCCTTCTTTTTCAAGACCTCTGCAATCCGCCCTGGCATGCTGTCAATTAACTTCTGGGCCACATCCTGACTGATGGCAGCCCATTCTTGCATAATCAATGCTTGGAGTTTGTCAGAATTTGTGGGTTTTTGTTTGTCCACCCGCCTCTTGAGGATCAACCACAAGTTCTCAATGGGATTAAGGTCTGGGGAGTTTCCTGGCTATGGACCCAAAATGTTGATGTTTTGTTCTCTGAGCCACTTAATCATATTTTGCCTTATGGCAAGGTGCTCCATCATGCTGGAAAAGGCATTGGTCGTCACCAAACTGTTTTGGATGGTTGGGAGAAGTTGCTCTCGGAGGATGTGTTGGTACCATTCTTTATTCATGGCTGTGTTCTAAGGCAAAATTGTGAGTGAGCCCACTCCCTTGGCTGAGAAGCAACCCCACACATGAATGGTCTCAGGATGCTTTACTGTTGGCATGACACAGGACTGATGGTAGCGCTCACCTTGTCTTCTCCGGACAAGGTGTTTTCCGGATGCCCCAAACAATCGGAAAGGGGATTCATCAGAGAAAATTACTTCACCCCAGTCCTGTTTTTCCTGGAGAGAAGTGGCTTCTTTGCTGCCCTTCTTGACACCATCCTCCAAAAGTCTTTGCCTCACTGTGCGTGCAGATGCACTCACACCTGCCTGCTGCCATTCCTGAGCAAGCTCTGCACTGGTGGTGCCCCGATCCCGCAGCTGAATCAACTTTAGGAGACGGTCCTGGCGCTTGCTGGACTTTCTTGGGTGCCCTGACGCCTTCTTCACAACAATTGAACCTCTCTCCTTGAAGTTCTTGATGATCTGATAAATGGTTGATTTAGGTGCAATCTTACTAGCAGCAATATCCTTGCCTGTGAAGCCCTTTTTGTGCAAAGCAATGATGACGGCACGTGTTTCCTTGCAGGTAACCATGGTTAACAGAGGAAGAACAATGATTTCAAGCATCACCCTCATTTTAAAGCTTCCAGTCTGCTATTCTAACTCAATCAGCATGACAGAGTGATCTCCAGCCTTGTCCTCGTCAACACTCTCACTGTGTTAACGAGAGAATCACTGACATGATGGCAGCTGGTCCTTTTGTGGCAGGGCTGAAATGCAGCCAAAATGTTTTTTGGGGTTTAAGTTCATTTTCATGGCAAAGAGGGACTTTGCAATTAATTGCAATTCATCTGATCACTCTTCATGCATTGAGTATATGCAAATTGCCATCATCAAAACTAAAAATTAGTATATGTGTCATTCTCAAAACGTTTGACCACGACTGTATAATGTCCTATTATGTTATGAAACTTTGAACCAAAACTTCAGTTCACCTGCCAGTATCCTCATATTTCAATGGGGTCTAATAAAGGGTTGATAACTTTTTGACAAACAACATAAGAACCAGTGTGGATAGGGTTAGATCCAGTGGCCAGTGGCCCGGTCCAGAGGCCTATCCAGAAGCAGATCTGAGAGTAACAAACGATCGATGGGCATAATCAGGATAATTGTGTTATTTATAATGTTGTTGTCTAAGTACCTCATTGAATGCAGTGGCTGTACCCTCTGGATATGAGGGTAGTGTTAGATTACTCAAATGTAAATGGACTATCATGAAACTGGGTATTTCTGGATACATTAACATACTTTACATAATGCTGGATCTCTACTGATACTAACAATGAAAATCATAATGTGAAAAGAGGATTAATTTTGTATGTTATGTCAGTGGTAGGTAGCCTAGCGGTTAAGAGCGTTAGCCCAGCAACCAAAAGGTCGCTAGTTAGAATCGCAGAGCCAACTAGGTGAACAATCTGCCGATGTGCCCTTGAGCAAGGCACTTAACCCTAACTGCTCCTGTAAGTCGATCTGGATAAGAGCATCTGCTAAATGACAAAAACATTAAAAAAATATCTATGTTATATCATTTCATACAATTGGACAGACTAAAACATACTGTGATGATCATTGTACAATACAGTAGCTTGCGAAAGTATTCACCCCTCTTGACATTTTTCCTATTTTGTTGCCTTACAACCTGGAATTAAAATGGATTTTTTTGGGGGTTGTATCATTTGATTTACACAACATGCCTACCACTTTGAAGATGCAAAATATTTTTCTTGTGAAACAAACAAGAAATAAGACAAAAAAAACAGAAAACTTGACCATGCATAACTATTCCCCCCCCCCCCCCCCAAAGTCAATACCTTGGCACATCTAGCCACTGGGATTTTTGCCCATTCTTCAAGGCTAAACTGCTCCAGCTCCTTCAAGTTGAATTGGTTCCACTGGTATACAGCAATCTTTAAGTCATACCACAGATTCTCAATTGGATTGAGGTCTGGGCTTTGACTAGGCCATTCCAAGACATTTAAATGTTTCCCCTTAAAACACTCAAGTGTTGCTTTAGCAGTATGCTTAGGGTCATTGTCCTGCTGGAAGGTAAACCTCCGTCCTAGTCTCAAATCTCTGGAAGACTGAAACAGGTTTCCCTCAAGAATTTCCCTGTATTTAGTGCCATCCATCATTCCTTCAATTCTGACCAGTTTCCCAGTCCCTGCCGATGAAAAATATCCCAACAGCATAAGCAATGGTTTTTTTCTGGCCACTCTTCCGTAAAGCCCAGCTCTGTGGAGTGTACGGCTTAAAGTGGTCCTATGGACAGATACTCTAATCTCAGCTGTGGAGCTTTGCAGCTCCTTCAGGGTTATCTTTGGTCTCTTCGTTGCCTCTCTGATTAATACCCTCCTTGCCTGGTCCGTGAGTTTTGGTGGGCGGCCATCTCTTGGCAGGTTTGTTGTGGTGCCATATTCTTTCCATTTTTTAATAATGGATTTAATGGTGCTCCGTGGGATGTTCAAAGTTTCTGATATTTTTTTATAACCCAACCCTGATCTGTACACAACTTTGTCCCTGACCTGTTTGGAGAGCTCCTTGGTCTTCATGGTGCTGCTTGCTTGGTGGTGCCCCTTGCTTAGTGGTGTTGCAGACTCTGGGGCCTCCAGAGTATATATACTGAGATCATGTGACAGATCATGTGACACTTAGATTGCACACAGCTGGACTTTATTTAATTAATTATGTGACTTCTGAAGGTAATTGGTTGCACCAGATCTTATTTAGGGGCTTCATAGCAAAGGGGGTTGAATACATATGCAAAATGGACAAATCTTTTAAACAAGTTTTTTTTGAATTTTTTTAAACAAGTTATTTTTTTCATTTCATTTTCTTTTTTGTCCATTACATGAAATCCAAATAAAAATCCATTTAAATTACAGGTTGTAATGCTACAAAATCGGAAAAACGCCAAGGGGGATGAATACTTTTGCAAGGCACTGTATATTATCATGCCATATATTAACATGTACAGTAAAATATGTTGATGTTTTCTGTACCTCTGCAGTATGGGAAAACACCATTCCAGGTTCCTGTCTCCAGGCATTGGACATGCGATGAGCCAATCAGTTCGTAGCCCTCCTCGCAGGTGAACACGACCTCACTTCCCATCAGGAAGTTACTGCCGTCCCGGTAGCCAAACTCTGGCGCCCCCGGGTTCTCACACTTTACTGGCTCTAGATTGATAACATAAATGCAGAGAAAAAATACTACAAAGGTTTGGTACTGTAGCTACATACTGCATCTTGAAGTGCCAATAGATAGTAATGAATTAAAACATTTTGGTAAACTCTATTTGTTTGATGATAAGGCATGAGAGGCATTACTATACAGTAGCTAAGGGGTTTTGTAGCTTGTGATATAACTAGGAAGAGTGTCATTGCTGGGGCCATGATATTTTCCTGACCACAGGACCTGACTGGGGAAAACCTTGGGCTCAGGTGGTATGGTCTGGGCCTACAGTATGTTACAGTACGTGTGTGTGCGTGTTTGTGTGTGTGTTACCTGTGCAGTTCTTCCCGTCTCCGGTGTAGGGGTGGATACAGGTGCAGGTATAAGAGCCATCTGTGTTCTGACAGCTGGCGTGTTCATCGCAGTCTGAGCCCAAAGCACACTCATCCACATCTGTATGTACACACACCATCATTACACACTGCACACACACTGCACTGTTTGAAAACATGTATTTATTGACATACACTAAATATGGTAAATATACACTGAGTGTACAAAACATTAGGAACATCTTTCCATGACATAGACTGACCAGGTGAATCCAGGTGAAAGCTATGAACCCTTAATGAGGTCACTTGTTATATCCACTTCAGTGAGTGTAGATAAAGGGGAGGACACAGGTTAAATAAGGATTCTTAAGCCTTGAGACAACTGAGACATGGATTGTGTATGTGTCCCATTCAGAGGGTGAATGGGAAAGACAAAATATTTAAGTGCCTATGAACGGGGTACGGTAGTAGGTGCCAGGCGCACCAGTTTGAGTGTGTCAAGAACTGTAACGCTGCTGGGTATTTCACGCTCAACAGTTTCCTGTGTGTATCAAGAATGGTCCACCACCCAAAAGACATCCAGCCAACTTGACACAACTGTGGGAAGCATTGGAGTCAACATGGGTCAGCATCCCTGTGGAACGCTTTCCACACCTTGTAGAGTCCATGCCCCGACAAATTGAGGCTAACGAATTGAGACAGTTCATAATATATATTCATCCAGTGTCTCAGTTTCAGTCTTACCCAGACAGGCTGGTGGGTTTCCTCCCCACTTCCCACTGTTGGTACAGAGCACCTTGGCGTCCCCCAGCAGGTAAAACCCAGGGTTACACTGGTACACCACAGTGCTGCCTGCATGGTAGTCGGAACCCTGGAACAGACCATGCTCCAGGGGCCGAGGGGGACCACACGTCACTCCTATACAGGCAAACAGGTAGATATACACGGGTTAGGTTTTGCGAATGTGTTCAATGGCTATGTTACTACTATGGTTATGATCATGGAGATAGTAGGTATTAACCAATATGTCACTCCTATAGATAGACAGTACACAGGTCATGATTTTATGATTTTTATTAGGATCCCCATTAGCTGACGCCAACGGTGACAGCTAGTCTTCCTGGGGTCCGACACATAACGAAAAAGACATTACAGACAAAAATACTTCACAATTTACATACATTTAAAACATTAACATAGACATTACAGACGTATATATATAAAAATAAAAACAACTACAAATAAAGACACAAATTAACGCAAATAAAAAAATAAACAATAGAACTAAAGAATAATGTCTGTGTGTGTGTGTGTGTGTGAATCTATCTGTTACAAATACATGTCAGAGGCATTGTGCCGTGAGGTGTTGCTTTATTTGTTTTTTTTGTTTTTTTCACTTTCGCTATATGAGATGGAAGGGAATTCAATGCAATCATGGCTCTATATAATACTTTACGTTTTCTTTAATTTGTTCTGGACCTGGGGACGGTGAAGAGACCCCTGGTGGCATGTTTGGTGGGGTAAGTATGTCTGTCAGAGCTATATGTAAGTTGATTATACAGACAATTTGGAATTTTAAACACATTAATATTTCTCACAACAACAAAAAAATGTATGCTGTCAATCTCTCTTCTACTTTGAGCTAAGAGAGACCGACATGCATACTGTTGACATTAGCCCTCTGTGTACATTGAAGGGAAAGATGTGATGTTCTGGCCCAGCTGCAGCTTTTCTAGGTCCTTCTTTGCAGCACTTTACTATATCACCGGGCAATAGTCAAGAATAGATCAAACTAGAGCCTGCAGGACTTGTTTGGTCGATTATGGTGTAAAAAATGATGAGCATTTCATGTCTGAGTTTGCCCACTTTGCCAATGAAATAGTCATTTAAATAATTGGAAGATACAGTGAGGGAAAAAAGTATTTGATCCCCTGCTGATTTTGTACGTTTGCCCACTGACAAAGACATGATCAGTCTATAATTTTAATGGTAGGTTTATTTGAACAGTGAGAGACAGAATAACAACAAAACAATCCAGAAAAACGCATGTCAAAACTGTTATAAATTGATTTTCATTTTAATGAGGGAAATAAGTATTTGACCCCTCTGCAAAACATGACTTAGTACTTGGTGGCAAAACCCTTGTTGGCAATCACAGAGGTCAGACATTTCTTGTAGTTGGCCACCAGATTTGCACACATCTCAGGAGGGATTTTGTCCCACTCCTCTTTGCAGATCTTCTCCAAGTCATTAAGGTTTCGAGGCTGACGTATGGCAACTCGAACCTTCAGCTCCCTCCACAGATTTTCTATGGGATTAAGGTCTGGAGACTGGCTAGGCCACTCCAGGACCCTAATGTGCTTCTTCTTGAGCCACTCCTTTGTTGCCTTGGCCGTGTGTTTTGGGTCATTGTCATGCTGGAATACCCATTCACGACCCATTTTCAATGCCCTGGCTGAGGGAAGGAGGTTCTCACCCAAGATTTGACGGTACATGGCCCCGTCCATCGTCCCTTTGATGCGGTGAAGTTGTCCTGTCCCCTTAGCAGAAAAACACCCCCAAAGCATAATGTTTCCACCTCCATGTTTGACGGTGGGGATGGTGTTCTTGGGGTTATAGGCAGCATTCCTCCTTCTCCAAACACAGCGAGTTGAGTTGATGCCAAAGAGCTCGATTTTGGTCTCATCTGACCACAACACTCACCCAGTTCTCCTCTGAATCATTCAGATGTTCATTGGCATGTATATGTGCTTTCTTGAGCAGGGGGACCTTGCGGGTGCTGCAGGATTTCAGTCCTTCACAACGTAGTGTATTACCAATAGTTTTCTTGGTGACTATGGTCCCAGCTGCCTTGAGATCATTGACAAGATCCTCCCGTGTAGTTCTGGGCTGATTCCTCACCGTTCTCATGATCATTGCAACTCCACGAGGTGAGATCTTGCATGGAGCCCCAGGCCGAGGGAGATTGACAGTTATTTTGTGTTTCTTCCATTTGCGAATAATCGCACCAACTGTGTCACCTTCTCATCAAGCTGTTTGGCGATGGTCTTGTAGCCCATTCCAGCCTTGTGTAGGTCTACAATCTTGTCCCTGACATCCTTGGAGAGCTCTTTGGTCTTGGCCATGGTGGAGAGTTTGGAATCTGATTGATTGATTGCTTCTGTGGACAGGTGTCTTTTATACAGGTAACATGCTGAGATTAGGAGCACTCCCTTTAAGAGTGTGCTCCTAATCTCAGCTCGTTACCTGTATAGAAGACACCTGGGAGCCAGAAATCTTTCTGATTGAGAGGGGGTCAAATACTTATTTCCCTCATTAAAATGCAAATCAATTTATAACATTTTTGACATGCGTTTTTCTGGAGTATTTTGTTGTTATTCTGTCTCTCACTGTTCAAATAAACCTACCATTAAAATTATAGACTGATCATGTCTTTGTCAGTGGGCAAAGTACAAAATCAGCAGAGGATCAAATACTTTTTTCCCTCCCTGTAGGTGTAAATGTTGTGGGTTCAATGGTTTTGGTGTTTGAATGCTTTTTGATGGTTATCCGCTATTACTGAGGTTATGCTTATGTATATAGCTGAAAAAATGCAAACTCTGCTTTCTAATGCCTCTGTCTGTGTATGTGTTTGTGTGCTTGCCTGCGTGAGTGCGTGCATGCATGCATGTGTGTGTGTCTAGGTGCATGGATGCATATATGTGTGAATATAGCATCTGTGTATGTGTAGCTAATGGCCCCTCACGTTCACAGCGGGGCAAGGCGTGGCTCCACTCTCCCTTGTTCTGACACTGAAGCAGCGGCTCCCCCACCAGGTAGAAGCCGGGATCACAGGACAGCTGCGTCTGAGAGCCGGGGCTGACAGCTGGACTGGACGCACGCAGGTGAGGCACAGCATTCTCTAGCAGGGGGCAGTCTGACACACAAACAAATGTAATTGAGTAGGAGAATGGAGAGGGTTACCGTTTCCCCTAGACACTTTTTTTTCCGCGTTTATCCCCCTAATGGTTAAGGTCAGGACTTTGCCAGAGTAAGCTGATCCTAGATCTGACCCTCACCAGCACAGAATATACAGTTGGGGTTAGTCTTGACTCTCCCCACCACTCCATTGAGGAAGTCAGGCCACGCCAGGACGTTGCCTCTGATGTTGTTCCCTGGGCAGGTGCTGGCTAGGATTTTGATCTATGGACCCAGAGAAATATGGAGGTCACTTTATGCCACAGAAGAACAAAAAAAACAACACACACTTTATTTGGGACAGAAGTTTTTTTTAAATATGTTACACAGACATTTCAAACTTTTTGCCACAGATGCTAGTTTATATGCTGTAGTTAGTCATGTAGCCTGGACGCCAGTCTTTTTCTGCTTGAGACAACTCTTTTGTGTGTCAAACACGGTTAGCATGACAATGAAAAACAAGTTGTTCTAAAGCAGAAACAGACTTAGTAACTAAGCTGGTCGTTATGTTCAGATAGTGATGTACCAGCTACTGTTCAGGTACAGTGGGGAGAAGTATTTGATACACTGCCGATTTTGCAGGTTTTCCTACTTACAAAGCATGTAGAGGTCTGTAATTTGTATCATAGGTACACTTCAACTGTGAGAGACGGAATTTAAAACAAAAATCCAGAAAATCACATTGTATGATTTTTAAGTAATTCATTTGCATTTTATTGCATGACATAAGTATTTGATACATCAGAAAAGCAGAACTTAATATTTGGTACAGAAACCTGTGTTTGCAATTACAGAGAACATACATTTCCTGTAGGTCTTGACCAGGTTTGCACACACTGCAGCAGGGATTTTGGCCCACTCCTCCACACAGACCTTCTCCACATCCTTCAGGTTTCGGGGCTGTCGCTGGGCAATACGGACTTTCAGCTCCCTCCAAAGATTTTCTATTGGGTTCAGGTCTGGAGACTGGCTAGGCCACTCCAGGACCTTGAGATGCTTCTTACGGAGCCACTCCTTAGTTGCCCTGGCTGTGTGTTTCGGGTCGTTGTCATGCTGGAAGACCCAACCACGACCCATCTTCAATGCTCTTACTGAGGGAAGGAGGTTGTTGGCCAAGATCTCGCGATACATGGCCCCATCCATCCTCCCCTCAATACGGTGCAGTCGTCCTGTCCCCTTTGCAGAAAAGCATCCCCAAAGAATGATGTTTCCATCTCCATGCTTCACGGTTGGGATGGTGTTCTTGGGGTTGTACTCATCCTTCTTCTTCCTCCAAACACGGCGAGTGGAGTTTAGACCAAAAAGCTCTATTTTTGTCTCATCAGACCACATGACCTTCTCCCATTCCTCCTCTGGATCATCCAGATGGTCATTGGCAAACTTCAGACGGGCCTGGACATGCACTGGCTTGAGCAGGGGGACCTTGCGTGCGCTGCAGGATTTTAATCCATGACGGCGTAGTGTGTTACTAATGGTTTTCTTTGAGACTGTGGTCCCAGCTCTCTTCAGGTCATTGACCAGGTCCTGCCGTGTAGTTCTGGGCTGATCCCTCACCTTCCTCATGATCATTGATGCCCCACGAGGTGAGATCTTGCATGGAGCCCCAGACCGAGGGTGATTGACCGTCATCTTGAACTTCTTCCATTTTCTAATAATTGCGCCAACAGTTGTTGCCTTCTCACCAAGCTGCTTGCCTATTGTCCTGTAGCCCATCCCAGCCTTGTGCAGGTCTACAATTTTATCCCTGATGTCCTTACACAGCTCTCTGGTCTTGGCCATTGTGGCAAGGTTGGAGTCTGTTTGATTGAGTGTGTGGACAGGTGTCTTTTATACAGATAACGAGTTCAAACAGGTGCAGTTAATACAGGTAATGAGTGGAGAACAGGAGGGCTTCTTAAAGAAAAACTAACAGGTCTGTGAGAGCCGGAATTCTTACTGGTTGGTAGGTGATCAAATACTTATGTCATGCAATAAAATGCAATGTGATTTTCTGGATTTTTGTTTTAGATTCCGTCTCTCACAGTTGAAGTGTACCTATGATACAAATTACAGACCTCGACATGCTTTGTAAGTAGGAAAACCTGCAAAATCGGCAGTGTATCAAATACTTGTTCTCCCCACTGTAGGTGAGTCTGTATTTCAGGTTGTAGAGCAGTAGCTAGGACAGTGGGATTTACTTGCTGTGGGTCGAGAACCCGGTCCCAGATGTGGAGCTGGCTGAGGGACCCTACAAAGGACTCCACGGGGTTGAAGCCCTCGCCCCTCTGGTCCTGGTCCTGGCCCAGCACCAACGCCCCTCCACCTGGAGGGTAGAGGTCAAGGGTCAAAGGTTAACCACCTCTCTTGGTTTCTTTGGGTTCTGTGAAATGTGCCTTAAAACCTAACCTCACTGCTATTATTTCATTAAGACCTGCAAAATAGCATCATTCTACTTTTTGATATGCCACACTGTGCCCCACTTAGATATTATAAGCAGGCTACTAGGACATAAGGACACAATAAGCAGATACAAGATCAGGCTAAGGCACTACTGCTAATAGCACTACACCTGGGATGGTTAGCTGTGGTGCTATGATGATTTATAGATTGACGATAAACTGCTACTTTATTTTGAGCAGGCTGAGGATAGCGCTAAACATAATATGCATGCAACTATGAATACGGTACATCATGATACTATGACACTAAGACAATAGCTATGAGCAGGCTGAGGATAGCACTACACCTGGGATGGTGGTGCCCACTGACAGGCCTTTCCCTCCGTCCGAGGGGTTGCCGTTGATATAGACCCTCCAGTCCCCGTCCCAGCTCCGCCATGACACGCCGATGTGGTGCCACTGACCCGTGTTGACCGCCGGGCAGTCTGTAATACGCTCCTTACCGTTGACGTACAGGACCCACCTGGGGGGGGCGGGGAGAGAGAGAGAGAGAGAGAGAGAGAGAGAGAGAGAGAGAGAGAGAGAGAGAGAGAGAGAGAGAGAGAGAGAGAGAGAGAGAGAGAGAGAGAGAGACTATAATGTGTTTTGTGAGGACCCCAAGAATAGTATAGTTGTGGCTAGTGTCTTGTGACAGCCTTAACATTCAGTGTGTCTGCGTGTGTGTGGCAGTACTGACCCGTTGTAGTCTATGAGCAGGAAGGCGTTGTCACTTCCCTCCACTGCGTAGGATATGGGCGTGCCATAGTTGGTGGTGTCCGAAGACCTCATCCAGAAAGTACACGTGATCTCCGTCAATGCCGGCATCATGCCGTCCATCATCACATAACCATGGATACCTGACACCTCGAAGTCCAGGTTGAAGGATGTTGACATCTCTGAAGGAGAAAAAATGTTTAGGCCGGAAATGAGTGAAAAATAATGAAAATTATTACAAAAAAGGTTTTATAAGTAAATAAATGGAGCAGTTTCTGAGTCATTGAGGTTAGAAGGAGAGAAAATGTTTTGGGCCAGAAAAGGTTGACTATGAAAATGGATTTTGAAGTAATGGGGCAGTTGCTGATACACATCAAATTGATATTGATCCAGAAAAGGGACCGGACCAATCCATTAGACTGTGAAATCTACCTTTTAGAAAGCAATTTCCTTCAATTAGACATTCAGACTATTGGCTCCAATGGCTCCGATGAGTGCAGTAGTGAAGTGACCTGGAGAATTTACTTTTCTCCTTTCTGAAAACAGGAAAGCTCTCATTATGATAGCCCTGTGTGAAACTAAATAGTGGTTTCACGAAGTGTACCTCCAAAATGGCACCCTATTCCCTACATAGTGCACTATAAAGACTAAAGAATAGAGTGCCATTTCAGACTCAGCCAAAGGTTTACTTCCATACATTTTCCTCTCTGAGACTGTGGTAAAACCACAATAGACTCAAACTCCTCCACAGCCTCTTCTACTCTTCCTCCACTCATCCCTCTCTCGCTTTCTCTCTCTCCATGGCGTCTATACCTGTCTCACACCTGGTTCCGTTGAACCCAGGAGGGCAGCGGCAGGTGTAGGAGCCCTGTCCGTCCACACATGTGGCCCCGTTGATACAGGGGTTAACCTGACACTCATCCACATCTACCTGACACAGCCTTCCCCGGTAGCCCTCCACACACTGGCACCTGGACACGGAGAGAGACCAGTACGTCATATATACAGTGGGGAAAAAAGTATTTAGTCAGCCACCAATTGTGCAAGTTCTCCCACTTAAAAAGATGAGAGAGGCCTGTAATTTTCATCATAGGTACACGTCAACTATGACAGACAAAATGAGAAAAAAAAATCCAGAAAATCACATTGTAGGATTTTTAATGAATTTATTTGCAAATTATGGTGGAAAATAAGTATTTGGTCAATAACAAAAGTTTCTCAATACTTTGTTATATACCCGTTGTTGGCAATGACACAGGTCAAAAGTTTTCTGTAAGTCTTCACAAGGTTTTCACACACTGTTGCTGGTATTTTGGCCCATTCCTCCATGCAGATCTCCTCTAGAGCAGTGATGTTTTGGGGCTGTCGCTGGGCAACACAGACTTTCAACTCCCTCCAAAGATTTTCTATGGGGTTGAGATCTGGAGACTGGCTAGGCCACTCCAGGACCTTGAAATGCTTCTTACGAAGCCACTCCTTCGTTGCCCGGGAGGTGTGTTTGGGATCATTGTCATGCTGAAAGACCCAGCCACGTTTCATCTTCAATGCCCTTGCTGATGGAAGGAGGTTTTCACTCAAAATCTCACGATACATGGCCTCATTCATTCTTTCCTTTACACGGATCAGTTGTCCTGGTCCCTTTGCAGAAAAACACGCCCAAAGCATGTTGTTTCCACCCCCATGCTTCACAGTAGGTATGGTGTTCTTTGGATGCAACTCAGCATTCTTTGTCCTCCAAACACGACGAGTTGAGTTTTTACCAAAAAGTTCTATTTTGGTTTCATCTGACCATATGACATTCTCCCAATCCTCTTCTAGATCATCCAAATGCACTCTAGCAAACTTCAGACGGGCCTGGACATGTACTGGCTTAAGCAGGGGGACACATCTGTCAATGCAGGATTTGAGTCCCTGGCGGCGTAGTGTGTTACTGATGGTAGGCTTTGTTACTTTGGTCCCAGCTCTCTGCAGGTCATTCACTAGGTCCCCCCGTGTGGTTCTGGGATTTTTGCTCACCGTTCTTGTGATCATTTTGACCCCACGGGGTGAGATCTTGCGTGGAGCCCCAGATCGAGGGAGATTATCAGTGGTCTTGTATGTCTTCCATTTCCTAATAATTGCTCCCACAGTTGATTTCTTCAAACCAAGCTGCTTACCTATTGCAGATTCAGTCTTCCCAGCCTGGTGCAGGTCTACAATTTTGTTTCTGGTGTCCTTTGACAGCTCTTTGGTCTTGGCCATAGTGGAGTTTGGAGTGTGATTGTTTTAGGTTGTGGACAGGTGTCTTTTATACTGATAACAAGTTCAAACAGGTGCCATTAATACAGGTAATGAGTGGAGGACAGAGGAGCCTCTTAAAGAAGAAGTTACAGGTCTGTGAGAGCCAGAAATCTTGCTTGTTTGTAGGTGACCAAATACTTATTTTCCACCATAATTTGCAAATAAATTCATTAAAAATCCTACAATGTGATTTTCTGGAAATACATTTCTCAATTTGTCTGTCATAGTTGACGTGTACCTATGATGAAAATTACAGGCCTCTCTCATCATTTTAAGTGGGAGAACTTGCACAATTGGTGGCTGACTAAATACTTTTTTTCCCCACTGTACCTGTGCAATACATTATACACATTAAACGCAATATTTAACCAGTTTCATCCTAATGTGTCATATTTGATTAAAACAATTCCAGATGCTGTTTCTTGCACACTAGCTTTCACTATCTTTCACTATTAAAAGCTCAATAAATTGTCTAGATGTTGAAATATTTGTTTCTCCATATAAAACATCAACATGCAGATCAGTATACCAAATTGGTTAGGGAAGTAAAATATGTCTGCTTGGTTGACAGTATTCAGTCATATTGAATTTTTTATGTAACCTTTATTTAACCAGGAAGTCCCATTAGGGTCCGAAGGCCTCTTTCCGCAAAGGGTTTTTATTACCTGAAGTTGTTGACGCCATCCCGACATGTCCCTCCGTTCTGACAGGGGGCACTGTTACACTCATCCACGTTGACCTCACAGCGGTCCCCAGAGTATCCTGGGAGGCAGGTGCAGGAGTACCCCCCCGCCAGGTCGTCACACACACCCCCGTTCAGACACGGGCTGGACAGACACTCGTCTATCTCCAGCTCACAATGAGAACCTAGAAGAAGATCATGTTGTTGATCATAATGCCTTTTGCATGAATACAGGAGATCCTAATCAGTTGCATTGTTGGCATTGAATGTTTGCTGCATAAATTGTAGCTGGCTTTTCATTGATGTTGCAAAAAAATTGGTTATGCTGGTTTTGCCTTTGCAGTAGTTGCATGAAATGTGGCCTTTGCTCATTATGAATGCAAGGTTTAACTGAAATTCTCAAGGGGCTGCCCATTGCAGTATTTTCATGCAATTCTCACTCTCATGCAATTATGCAGGTACAGGTAACTGAAGTGCCCAAGGTGCCTGGTAAAGAGGCAGAGTGATCCCACCTGTGAAGCCATCAGCACAACTGCAGGTGTACTGGTTGATCTCATCCACACACTCTCCTTCGTTCAGACAGGGGGAGGAGTAACACTCGTTCACCTCCGCCTCGCACAGAGAACCTGGGACAGAGAAACGACCTCAGCAGAAAGAAACTACAGTCCGTCATATGGTCGGTCGCACTTGACCAGTACTAAATGCCTAGGTGTCAGTCTGCTTCTGCTTTAGCCAAGTCCTCTTTCGTAGTCATGTTTGGCAAGGACTGATAGGACTGATGTTTCTACAGAAACAGACTGGTACCCGGCTACTAAATGTCTAGGAGAAACAAGAAAATTAGAATTAAAGAAGTGGAAGGGAGTGGAAACTGGGTACCAGACATTCATGATGTCCCCATACCTACAAAGCCTGGTCTGCACTGGCAGAGGAAGTCTCCCATGCCGTCCTTACACAGACCCCCATTCTGACACGGTGCCGAGTCACACTCATCTATGTCACTCTCACACTTCGCCCCTGCAGGTAGAAATACATTTTCACAGCCTTATGATGAGACTACTAACAATTGGTTATAGCTTTTTATTGCTCTGATGAACATTGTTTGACCGAAAGCTTACACATGACCAGAATAAACTGAAACTTGAATAGATTAAGAATGCATTCATGGGTATAGTTTACCTGTGAAACCAGGCAGACAGGTGCAGATGTAACCCGCCCCCACCTCCTCACATGTCCCCCTGTTCTGACACGGGTTCAAGAAACACTCATGGAAGACCTGAGGAGAGGAACAGTAATGTGGTTATGAGTTATGTTTATGAATGTGGTGTGAGAATTTCAGGACTAGGAGAGAATTTTATTCTTCCACTCCATATTCAATAACCATTACCAGACCTGGGTTCAAATACTTGAAAAACCATATTAAATACTTTGAGCATTTGCTTGAGTCTGCCTGGAGTGCCAGATGTGTGGGGTTTTCAGTTTTGGGTCCTTTCGCTTGGTTTATTAAGCCAGAATGCCACTACATTTTGACCAATCTGATCAGATCTCTTGCCAATAATTTGGCAAAAGATCAGAATTGGGCTGCCTGTGTAAATGCAGCCAAACAGGCACAGAAAGTATTTCAAGTATTTGAAACTCAGGTTTGATCATAACTCAGTCAACCTTTCTGCTGTAAACCCCTTGAGGAGTCTCTTGAGAACATGGGTCAGTCAGTCTCACCTGGCTACTAGCCTGATAGTCCTGGGATACCACCACCTCTGGAGCTGATGTCACACTCTCCTCCTTAGGCAGGACACTAGAGCCAAAACCTGATGGAGGGAAAGAGGGAGGGAGGGAGGAAGGAAGGGAAAAAGGGGGGGGGAGAGAGAGAGAGAGCGAGAGAAAGAGAAAAAAAATAAAGAGAGAGAGAATCAGAGAAGAAAGGAGAGAGAGTTTCCACTTGTCACCAAACTGGCAGACACTAACAAAGCTCATTTAGTCTGATTGGCCACATCTACCAGTTTTTATCACTCTTAGGGCCTTTCATTCATAGGTTATTTCCATTCAGTAGTCACACATGACGAATACATTTCCATTCTTTCCTGATCCTTTTTGCAATCCCTTTTCCATTCCGTGGCCAAGTCTCAAACAATGATGTATGTCTATGGTCTTAAATTATACCCTGTTACCCATCTAGTGTCATTTTGACCAAAGCCATGTGTCAGTAGTCCTATGGGGGAATACTGTAGGGAAATATAGGGAAATAGGGTGTCATGAAGTACACTATAGTTCAGTTCAAACATTATTGGAAATTATTTGGTTGCATATATAAGGAATAGGGTGTGATTTAGTGCACTACATAGGGAATAGTGTGGGATTAAAGACCTAGCCAGTGTAGTGTAACAGTAACTCACTGGAGCAGTGTTGTATCGCGGTGGCCCCGGTGACAGTTGTGGTGCCGTAGAATGGGCAGGAGAGGCAATAAGAGCGGCCGTGGTCGGGCTGGTAGTAGTCTCTGGGACAGGGGTAGCAGGGGACCAGCCCTGTACGAGAGAAATGACCTGCCAAACATGGAACTGGAGGGGGAGAGGGAGGGAGGGAGGGTTAGTGTCACTAATGGAAGTATGGAAGTGAGCACAGTCATCATATTTTTATGCTAGGTCAGTGAGCACAGTCATCATATTTTTATGCTAGGTCAGTGAGTTCAGTCTGAATGTAAACGCAGTCATGTCTGTTCTTTCCCCTCTTCACAGGGTCAGTGGTGAGTTCAGAGTTAGACTCTCTCTCTCTCTCCTCCCTTCCTCCCTCCCTACCTCCATCACTCCTTCCCCCTCTTCTCTCTCCCCCATTTCACTCCCTCCATCTCTCCCTCTCACCTCCACACTCAGCCATCTCTCTTGCCCCACTGGTGACGGTGGAGGTCTCATCCGGACAGACCAGACACTCTCTGGATCCAAACCCAGGCTGGTAGTGCCCCAGTGGGCATGACTCGCACGTCTCCAGCCCATTCACAGAGTAACCTCCAGGCTTGCACTGCTCTGAAAACACACACACAGAAACACACAATATAACATATACTAATAATGAGTTCATTGAGTTTATAACCTTCAAAATTATGTAGGAAGGATGCCACCTGCTGGTATTACATTCATGGTGAATAGTATTTTAGGACCAGGAGTTTTCCTGGTCAGATCCAACTAGTTACTGGGACCAGGAGTTTTCCTGGTCAGATCCAGCTAGTTACTGGGACCAGGAGTTTTCCTGGTCAGATCCAGCTAGCTACTGGGACCAGGAGTTTTCCTTGTCAGATCCAACTAGTTACTGGGACACAGAGTTTTCCTGGTCAGAGCCAACTAGTCACTGGGACCAGGAGTTGTCCAAGTCAGAGCCAACTAGTTACTGGGACCAGGAGTTTTCCTGTTCAGATCCAGCTAGTTACTGGGACCCAGAGTTTACCTGGTCAGTTCACGTAGCCCTATGTACAGTATTACCATTGTATGAGTGTCCACCTGAGGACCTTGTCCATGTGTTTTACCTTGTCCAGGTGTTTTACCTTGGCCAGGTGTTTTACCTTGTACAGGGGCTAGAGTTTTACCTTTGCACTGGTCCTGGTTGCGTGCGTGGAAGTAGGCTGTGGAGGATCCCTCGGGACAGGTCTTACACTCCATCTGACCCTCCTGGTCCTGGTAGGACCCCAGCCAGCAACTCTCACACTCTGCATACTCCAGGGAGTAGTAGGTCCCTACCGGACACTGGACTGGAACATCCAGCAACACATAGGACAGTGTAAGGCCAAACCTTCATTCATTCCTCCATCCATCCATTAATTCATTCATTCATTCATTCATTCATTCATTCATTCATTCATTCATTCATTCATTCATTCATTCATTCATTCATTCATTCGTACACTGTGAACCTGGAGACCACACTAAGTAGTCATACTGTACGGTCTGTATCTCAGGGCCCACTACTCACCACACATCCTTCCCTTCAGTACAGACCCAGGTCGGCAGAACAGAGAGGCCCTCTTGCTCTCTAGGGACTTGGGGTCAGCCACCACAATCATCTCAGACGACACGTGATAGGATGACAGCGGCTGCTTGGCCAGCGTCCGCTTCAGCCGATTGGTCAGCTGCTCCAGGATCCGCAGCAGGCGCTTCTGATTGGCTACCTCCACTGAGTCATTCCTGGACGAGGGCAGCGGGATGCTTGCTGGGAGAATGGACACAGCTCAAAGGACGGGACTCGGAACAACAACAACAACGCAAACAAATTCAAGTTCATAAGTTAATTTTGTTTATGTTGATCGTGCCACCAGCCTACCTGTGATGTTGAAGAATATCTGTATCTTCTGGTCTCTGGTGGGGATCTTACGGTGCCTTTTGCTGCGGTAGTTGGAGGTTCCCGTCCTGGCACTACCATCCTTCTGCATTGGGGTTCGAGGGCTGTCCGTAGCGAAGCCCGAGTCGAAGTAGGCATAGTCCTGACCGCTCTGGGGTCCCCGGTTACTGCCCCATCGTCCTGGGCCTGGGAGAGGGGAGGGAGATGGAGAGAGGGGAGGATGAGGGCGGGAGAGGGAGAGGGAGGGGAGGGGAGGGAAGGGGAGGGGGTTATGAAGAGCAATGGTTAGGAAATACATTTATCTCAAGGCCCTACTGCTTGTACAGTACATTTTTATAGTTGGGGCAATAGCATATGAAGGTCTTACCGATAGCGAATCCATTCTCATAGTCGTAATTGTACTCCAGGCAGTGGCCTTGTGACATCACCTCTAACTTGCAGGCAACATCCTCGTGACTGCAGATGGTCGGGAGCTATGGATACAATTGAGAGAGAAATTAAACATAAATAGTGTGTGTGTATGTACTCCTTTGTTGATTTGATTTGATTTGTGTTCTCACCATGTCTCTTAGTTTAGTGT